TTAAAAGCTTCCAAAGAAGGAGCCTCCACCACACTCCGGGGCAGAGAGTTCCACTGCTGAACGGCTCTCACAGTCAGGAAGTTCTTCCTCATGTTCAGATGGAATCTCCTCTCTTGTAGTTTGAAGCCATTGTTCACGTCCTAGTCTCCAGGGAAGCAGAAAACAAGCTTGCTCCCTCCTCCCTGTGGCTTCCTCTCACATATTTATACATGGCTATCATGTCTCCTCTCAGCCTTCTCTTCTTCAGGCTAAACATGCCCAGCTCCTTAAGCCGCTCCTCATAGGGCTTGTTCTCCAGACCCTTGATCATTTTAGTCGCCTTCCTCTGGACACATTCCAGCTTGTCAATATCTCTCTTGAATTGTGGTGCCCAGAATTGGACACAATATTCCAGGTGTGGTCTAACCAAAGCGGAATAGAGGGGTAGCATGACTTCCCTAGATCTAGACACTATGCTCCTATTGATGCAGGCCAAAATCCCATTGGCTTTTTTTGCCGCCACATCACATTGTTGGCTCATGTTTAACTTGTTGTCCACGAGGACTCCAAGATCTTTTCCACACGTACTGCTCTCGAGCCAGGCATTGTCCCCCATTCTGTATCTTTGCATTTCATTTTTTCTGCCTAAGTGGAGTATCTTGCATTTGTCACTGTTGAACTTCATTTTGTTAGCCTTGCGGACCTTTTCCCTACAGGTGTTGGCTATTTGTTTTCATTTTTCTTTGGTGATTTCTCAGTTTTTCCACTTCTTGAATGTCTCTTTTGTGTTTTAGCACAGTTAGAAGTGCTTTGGACATCCATTCTGGCTTCTTTGCACTTGTCCTATTTTTTCTCTTTGTTGGCACAGTTTGCAATTGCGCCTTGAGTATTTCACTCTTGAGAAATTCCCATCCATCCGTAACTCCCTTGTCTTTTAGTATCTGTGTCCACGGAATGCTGCTCAGTGTTTCCTTCCTTTTTTGGAAATCAGCTCTCCTAAAGTCCAAAATGCGGGTTTGACTTGTCTTAGTTTCGGCCTTCCTTTGTACCTCAAATTGCAGGAGCACATGGTCACTTGCCCCTAAGGATCCTACCACTTCGACCGCATCAATCAGGTCCTCCGCATTTGTTAGGATGTCTGCAAGGCAAGCAAGGAATTTGTTGGACCTTGTACTCTTGGCCGAGTTTGTTTTCCAGCAAATATCGGGATAGTTGAAATCGCTCATGACTACTACATCTCTTCTCTGTGCCTGTTTTGTCAACTGTTGGCAGAAGACTTCATCAAGTTCTTCCTCCTGGCTTGGGGGTCTGTAGTAGACGCCTACAACGACATCTTTTTGAGTCCCAGTTCCCTTGATTCTTATCCAGATGCTTTCAAGCTGGTTTCCCGGATTGCTGTCTTGCATCTCTTCTGCAGCATGAGTTTTTGACATATAAGACTACTCCACCTCCTCTCCCCTTTGTTCGGTTTCTGTGAAAGAGGTTATATACCTCGATGTCTACATTCCAGCGATAGGAGTCATCCCACCAGGCTTCAATGATGCCTATGCTGTTGTGCTAAAAGTTGGAGTTCGTCTGGTTTATTTCCCATGCTCTGTGCATTAGTGTAAAGACATGTGAGCCCCTGAGAGCTTCCCCTGAGCTGTTTAATTGGGATTATTGTGCTTTTGGTACTTGGTACTCGTTGTGTTTGTGCAGCCCTCCGTTTAGCCTTCTGGCGGTTCCCTGACATTGTGGGTAAAGTAGTGTTCGCAAGGCTGTTGTCCCCCTCCCCCGGTGGACCTAGTTTAAAGTGCGCCGAATGAGATTTGCGAGTCTGTGAGCAAAAAGGTGTTTTCCTACTTGTGTGAGATGCACCCCATCCCTTGCCAGTAGGCCATCCTCCTGGAAAAGCAGGCCATGGTCGACGAAGCCAAAGCGTTCCTCCTGACACCATTTTCTAAGCCAGTCATTGACCTGTACTATTTTTCTGGCCCTTGTAGGACCGTGTCTTACAACTGGGAGGAGGGATGAAAAGACCACTTGTACATTACATTGTTTTAGCTTTGTTCCGAGAGCTCGAAAATCATTGCTCTCCGCAATTCTAACAGACAGGAAGGCACACCTGGGACCTTAACAATGGCACAACAATAGTCTATTGGTCTCCAGCCATGAACATATCTATAGATCGGTACTTGAAGTGGCTGCGAAATTAAGGGAGTTTGGGGCAGTATTATCTGCCCATCTCCGGTGAATTCATGCTTGGCAGCTCTTTCTCTACACATCAGCATTTTTGCAAACAAAGGCCATTTGTAAAAGCAGGCACATAGGATTTTCAATAATTGAAAGCATCCCTGAAAATTCCCTTTTAAAACTACGTCTCCCTCAAAGGCACTCTAGAATTTTTCTTCAGCACCACTGTTCAAAAACCTCATCTTCTTTCGCGCAGCCTTCCTTATGGTCCAGTTCTCACATCCATAGGTCACTATGGGGAATACAATTGCTTTAACTATGCGGACCTTCATTCTGACGTCTCAACTCTTCACGCTTTTATCGAGATTGGTCCTTGCTCTCCTCCCAAGGAGGAAACATCTTCTGATTTCCTGGCTGCGGCCTGCAGTCTGTCGCTGCTTCCATGTTTTCTCCCTCTATTTGCCAGTTATCAATCAGTCTGGTTGCCATAATCTTCAGTTTTTTGATGTTTTAACTGCAACCCAGCTTTTGCGCTTTCTTATCAAGGTGGTAAAGTCCAATTCATGGTTCAGATATTCCTTGCGTTGGCTGCCAGAACCTCCACACCATCATGCATTGCGGTTTTCTCCATTTTGCTCTCCCCTCCCTTCTCATTTCCTTTCATTCCCTTCTTGTTATTCTTTCTTCTTCCCTTCCTCTTCCTCATACACATGTCACCTGGCAGCAGCCCATCTGCCTCACTCCCTTTCTTTCCCAGTCACATCACTGAAGGCCACTTCACCCAGCAACAATCCGCTTCCTTCCTTTTCTGAGCTTGAAAGGAGCTGTGGGGTTTTTTTTAAAGTTCAACCCCTTCAATTATTTCAATTTGGATAATTTATTTGTCATGTCAGGACAACCGGTCATATTATATTACATTTCTAACAGAACAAAGCAAACAAACAGAATACACAATTTGTGTGTTTGGTAGTTGATTAAATGTCCTTTGACCAGTATCTGGCCACTTGGAGTGCCTCTGGTATTGCTGCAAGAAGGTCCTCCATTGTGCATGTGGCAGGGCTCAGGTTGCATTGCAGTGGTGGTCAGTGGTTTGCTCTTCTCCACACTCGCATGTCATGTATCCCCATTTCTTAAGATTGGCTCTGCATCTTGTGGTGCCAGAGCGCAGTCTGTTCAGTGCCTCCAAGTCGCCCAGTCTTCTGTGTGCCCAGGGGGGAGTCTCTCATCTGGTATCACCCACGGATTGAGGTGCTGGGTTTGAGCCTGCAACTTTTGGACTCTCGCTTGCTGGGGTGTTCCAGCGAGTGTCTCTGTAGATCTTAGAAAACTATTTCTAGATTTAAGTCGTTGATGTGCTGGCTGATACCCAAACAGGGGATGAGCTGGAGATGTCTCTGCCTTGGTCCTTTCACTATTGGCTGCTACTTCCCGGCGGATGTCAGGTGGTGAAATACCGGCTAAGCAGTGTAATTTCTCCAGTGGTGTAGGGCGCAGACACCCTGTGATAATGCGGCATGTCTCATTAAGAGCCACATCCACTGTTTTAGTGTGGTGAGATGTGTTCCACACTGGGCATGTTACTCAGCAGCAGAGTAGCATAGCGCAAGGGCAGATGTCTTCACTGTATCTGGTTGTGATCCCCAGGTTGTGCCAGTCAGCTTTCGTATGATATTGTTTCTAGCACCCACTTTTTGCTTGATGTTCAGGCAGTGCTTCTTGTAGGTAAGAGCACGGTCCAGAGTGACTCCCAGGTATTTGGGTGCGCTGCAATGCTCCAGTGGGATTCCTTCCCAGGTGATCTTCAGAGCTCGGGATGCTTCTCTGTTCTTGAGATGAAAGGCACATGTCTGTGTTTTAGATGGGTTAGGGATCAGCTGGTTTTCCCTGTAATAGGCAGTAAGCACCTAGAGCTTCGGAGAGCTTCTGTTCAACCATCTCAAAGCTCCCTGCTTGAGCGGTGACGGCACGATCATCAGCATAGATGAAATGCTCTGTCCCTTCTGGCAGTGGCTGGTCATTTGTGTAGATGTTGAACATGGATGGAGCAAGCACACTCCCCTGAGGCAGGCTGTTCTTCTGTTTCCGCCATCTGCTTCTCTGGCCCTGGAACTCAACAAAAAAGCTCCTGCTTTGTAGCAGGTTTCCTATGAGGCGGGTGAGGTGGTAGTCCTTTGAGATATTAATTTGGATAATGAAGAGCTGTGTGTGCCAAGTTTGGCCCAGGTCCATCAAGCCAGGGAGGAGCCTTTGTGGTACAAACAAACAAATGTTAACTTAGTCAATATAATTATAGGTTATTTTGTTAAGTTGGACAATGAAAAGCCTGTGTGCCTAGTGTGGTCCAGATCCCTGAAGTCATGGAGAAGGCTTTGTAGTACAAACCAACACGCATACAAGAGTCACTCTAGGTTCTTGTAGGTTTTTTCGGGCTATATGGCCATGTTCTAGAGGCATTTCTCCTGACGTTTCACCTGCATCTATGGCAAGCATCCTCAGAGGTAGTGAGGTCTGTTGGAAATAGGAAAATGGGTTTATATATCTGTGGAAGGGCTGTGGTGGGGCAAAGAGCTCTCTGCTGAAGCTAGGTGTGAATGTTTCAGCTGACCACCTTCATTAGCATTTGAAGGCCTGGCTGAGCCTGGGAAAATGTTCTGTTGAGAGGTGAGTCACTCTCTAATCAGCGGGCTCCATCTCCTCAGGAAGAAACAAGAAGGCTGGAGCCGAGTTGCGCGCGCATTCCGGGAAATGTAGTGGCATCTAGAATAGTGCGCATGCGCCTGGCGTAGTGACCTGCCAAGAGGCCCCTCACCCGCTGACGCAACTACGCATGCCTGGACCGAACGTGCTCACGCAAACGCCCTTCCGGGCATGCGCAGTGCCGTCAGCGAGTGAGGGCCTTTCTTTCGACGTCTCTGGCTCGATTCGACCGGCTGTTTCTGAGGCGAAGGCGCGTCCCGTCGGTCTTGTGACGTCTTCCGCTGCCGCTCTCCACTTCTCCGCGCAGGAGGCTCGTGGAAGGCCCGTTCCGGTCGATGGCGGACGGAGGGAAAGGGGGCTACAGCGGTAAGGGGCCTCAAGGGAGCCAGAGGCGGGTCGGGCGCCTGGGAAGGCCTCGCCGAGCAGCAGAGGCCCAACCAGACCTCCGTTGCGGTGAAGGGATTAGGCCTCTGAGAGGGAAGCTGAGCCTTAAGACCCTCGAGTTGGAAGAGACCCCAAAGGTCATCCAGGCCAGGCAGGAAGGAACTACCCAAGCCCTCCTGACAGATGGCCATCCAGCCTCCGAATCCTCCAGTTGGAAGAGGCCCCAAGGGTCATCCACCCCCGCCCCCTTCCGCCAGGCAGTTGGGCCCCACCAAAGCTCTCCTAAGAGATGGCCACTCAGCCTCCGCTTGGAAAGTTCCAGAGAAAGACACTTCACCATCATTGTTATCAACTATTACTATTGTTACTATTGTTATAGAATCCTAGGGTTTGAATAATACCCCCAAGGGTCATTCAGTCCGACCCTCTGTCACGCAGGAAAACCCCAAGAAAGCACTCCTGACAGATGGTCATCTAGCATCCTTTTAGAAACCTCCAGAGAACGACATTCCATTATGGATGAGGGCGAACAAATTGAAATTGAATCCAGACAAGACAGAGGTACTCCTGGTCAGTCGCAAGGCCGAACAGGGTGTAGAGTTACAGCCTGTGTTGGATGGGGTTACACTCCCCCTGAAGACGCAGGTTCGCAGCTTGGGTGTGATCCTGGACTCATCGCTGAGCCTGGAACCCCAGGTTTCGGCAGTGACCAGGGGAGCATTTGCACAGCTAAATCTTGTGCGCCAGCTGCGCCCGTACCTTGGGAAGTCTGACTTGGCCACGGTAGTCCACGCTCTGGTTACATCCCGTTATAGACTACTGCAATGCTCTCTACATGGGGTTGCCTTTGAAGACGGTCTGGAAGCTTCAACTAGTCCAACGAACAGCAGCCAGGTTGTTAACTGGAGCGGTGCTCAGGGAGCATCCAACCCCCCCTTGTTGCGCCAGCTCCACTGGCTGCCGGTTTGCTACCGGGCCCAATTCAAAGTGCTGGCTTTGGCCTTTAAAGCCCTAAACGGTTCCGGCCCAAGCTACCTATCCGACCGCATCTCTGCCTATGAACCCACCAGGACTTTGAGATCTTCCGGGAAGGCCCTGCTCTCGATCCCTCCTGCTTCTCAAGCACTGCTGGGGACGAGAGATAGGGCCTTCTCGGTGGTGGCTCCTCGGCTGTGGAACGCCCTTCCTACGGACATTAGACTAGCACCATCTCTAATGGTATTCCGCAAAAAAGTGAAGACCTGGCTGTTTGAGCAGGCGTTCGAATAATTAGTGCAATGATTGGTTAATGAACACTGGAATGGAACAATGGATGACGAATCTGGAACATGTTTTTGATAACGAGACGACAGTGAATGGGTATTGTAGTAACTGTTTATTAATTGTGTAATGTGTTAGGTTGTTAACTGTTTCTATACTGTAGCACTGAATTTTTGCTGTTCGTATTTGTTGTGAACCGCTGTGAGTTGCCTTCGGGCTGAGAACAGCGGTATATAAGTAAGGTAAATAAATAAATAATTATTTATTATTTACTTTACTTCTATACCGCTGTTCTCAGCCCGGAGGCGACTCACAGCGGTTCACAAGACACAAGACACAGCAAAATTCAATGCACCAATATAAAAACAATTAACAACCTAATCTAATACACAGTTAGTACACAATTTCTATCATAACCATTCACTAACGTCTCATCACTAAAACATGATCCAGATTCGTCATCCATTGTTCCATTCCTATGTCGTTACCAGTCATTGCACTGAATTATTCGAACGCCTGCACAAATAACCAGGTCTTTACTTTTTTGCGGAATACCATTAGAGATGGTGCTAATCTGATGTCCGTGGGAAGGGCGTTCCACAGCTGGGGAGCCACCACCGAGAAGGCCCTATCTCTCGTCCCCGCCAGCCGTGCTTGTGATGCTGGCGGGACCGAGAGCAGGGCCTCCCCGGAAAATCTCAAAGTCCTGGTGGGTTCATAGGCCGAGATGCGGTCGGATAGGTAGCTTGAGCCGGAACCGTTTAGGGCTTTAAAGGTCAACACCAGCTGTTGCTGTTGTTGTTGTTGAATCCTAGAGTTGGAAGAGACCCCCAGGGCTATTAGAGCTTAAGACTCTCTGCACATTGCACTTGCCCAGAATCCCAACATATCACCTCTTACACCCAGCACTTTTTAACCTGTACCCTTCATTGGCCCGGCCCTGGTTTTATTGCGTAATAGTGTAATGTTTTGTTTTTGTTATTGCTTATGTTTTTAATTTGCTTGCATTGTATTGTTATTGTCTGTTGTTGTTGTTTGAGGCCTTGGCCTTTGTAAGCCACATCGAGTCCTTCGGGAGATGCTAGCGGGGTACAAATAAAGTTTAATAATAATAATCATCATCATCATCCAGTCCATCATCATGATTATTATTAACTACTATAATTTTACTGACACAAAAGCACAGTATGTCACAGCAAACAAGATCCATATGCTGGATTTCGTATAAAAAAATCACAAGTTGAACCCTTCCCAAGCGTCTAGGACTGTGTAATGTATTTTTGGAAGATGCGCGCAGATCCAAGTCAGGTGGCCTTTTGCAGTTGACAGATTGTGATTTTGTCAATGTGTATTGTTTCCAAATGCCGGCTGAGATCTTTTGGCATGGCATCCAGTACACCAATGACCACTGGGACCACCTGTACTGGTTTATGCCAGAGCCTTTGCAGCTCGATTTTGAGGTCTTGATAGCAGCTGAGTTTTTCCTATTGTTTTTACTCAATACAGCTGTCACTGGTATGGCGACATCAATAATCCAGACCTTTTTCTTTTCCACAATCGTGATGTCTGGTGTCTTGTGTTCCAAAACTTTGCCAGTCTGGATTTGAAAGTCCCACAGTATTTTTGCATGTTCATTTTCCACGACCGCTGCGGGTTTATGATCCCACAAAGGATCATAAATATGTGGTACTTGTGACATAAGTTCCATTGAATCATCTGGGCCACAGAGTTGTGTCTTTGTTTGTAGTCCGTCTGTGCGATTTTCTTACAACAGCTGAGGAGATGGTCCATGGTTTCATCTGTTTTCTTGCACAGTCTGCATTTTGGGTCATCCGCTGATGTTTCAGTCCTGGCTTTAATGGCTTTTGTTCTGATGGCTTGCTCCTGGGTTGCAAGAATCAGGCCTTCTGTCTCCTTCAGTGTTCCATTCGTGAGCCATAACCAAGTTTTCTCCCTGTCAACTTTTCCTTCAATTCTGTTAAGGAACTGTCCGTGCAATGCTTTGTTGTGCCAGATGTGAGCTCTGGTTTATCTATTATTATTATTATTATTATTATTATTATTATTATTATTATTATCGAATCCTGGAATTGGAAGAGACCCCCAGGGCCATCCAGTCCATCATCATGATTACATTATTATTATTATTATTATTATTATTATTATTATTATTATTGAATCCTAGAGTTGGAAGAGACCCCCCGAGCCATCCATCATCATCATTACCATCATCATCATTATTGAATCCTAGTTGGAAGAGACTCCCAGTGCCATCTCATCCAACCCCCTTCTGCTAGAAAAGAACACACAATCAAAGACATCCCAACAGATGGCCACCTAGCATCTTATTAGAAACCTCTAGAGAAGGACATTCCTTCATCATCATGATTATTACCTATTACTGTTGTAGAATCCCACGGTTGGAAGAGACCACCCAGCATCATCATGATTGTTATTGATGATGATGATGATGATTATTATTGAATCCTAGTTGGAAGAGACCCAAGGGCCATCTAGTCCAACCCCCTTCTGCTAGGCAAGAATACACATCTAGTCCAACCCCCTTCTGCTAGGCAAGAATACACATACACATCAGATGGTGGTCTAGCATCTTCTTAGAAACTTCCAGAGAAAAGACATTCCATCATCATCATCATTATTATCAATTATTATTACAAAATCCCAGGATTGGAAGAGACCTCAAGGCTATCCAATCATTGTGATTATTATCAATTATTGTTATTATTGAATCCTAGAATTGGAAGAGACCCCCAGGGCCATGCAGTCCAACCCCCTTCCGCTAGGCATGAACACAATCAAACAGATTGCCATCCAGCTTCTGCTTAAAGACCTCTAAAGAAGGAGACTCCTAGGCAGTATATTCCACTGCCAACCATCAGGGAGTTCTTCCTAATGTTTAGGTTGAATCTCTTTTCTTGCCATTTGAATCCATGGCTCCATTGTATCCTAGTCTCCAGAGAGACAGAAAACAAACTTGCTCCTTCCTCAATGTGACTGCCTTTAGATATTTAAACATGGATCTCTGCAATTCCAAAACATAGATATTAGAGACGTTTATACTGGGCAGGAGGGGGGGGGATCTTAGAATCAACAAAATATTTCTACTGTTGTCTTATTTTGATAATTGCATATTGCTTTTGACTGTTGTGCCAAACTAGATTTGACATTCAAATTATCATGAAATAAGAAAAGCCAAAGCATCTTTTGACTATTAGGGCTTTCTGTTGAATGCTGGGATTGGCAGTTTATGGAAGGGTGTTTATAATTCCCAGCCTGAAAACACAAGGGTCAATCACTCTGCTACTAGTGGTTTGAGCTGTTGTGCCAAACTGGATTCGAGATTCAAACAATTGTTTTACACATGAAATACAAAATTAAAAAGCCAAATCATCTTCTGGGTGTTAGGACATTCTATTGAATCCTGGGATTGAATCCTGGGATTTATGGAAGGGCACAGATATGCAGGATGCAGATATGATAGTTAATGTGTAATCAAATGTTTTAAATGTCTTGTGTAAAATGAGAATAATGATGGTGTCCAGTTTCATCTTTTAAGAGGAAGAGTTAGTTGCAAAGGACAATCTGTAGGTTACCAAGGGGCCCTTCCAGATAGGCCCTTTATCCCAGAATCAGATTTATTATTATTATTTATTATTTCTCGCACTTCTACCCCGCCCTTCTCAACCCCTGAGTGGGGACTCAGGGTGGCTTACAACAGGCACAATTCGATGCCAGCATAACAATAAGATAAAAATAAAACATATATAAACAGTAATTAAAACAATTAGATCCCAGGTTTTCTGTTTATCCCAGATTATCTGGTAATGGGGACTCATAATCCAGTTTAAAGTAGAAAACCTGGGATCAGATCTTGGGATTTAAAGCCAGATTGGAAGGGCTCTTGGGTCATTTGTATGGAGGGAATGATCTATCATAAGTATGGGCAAACCCAGACCCACGGGCCAGATGCAGCCCTTTGAGTTCTTTTCTCAGACCCTCTTTTCTCTCACCATGCTATCCTTCCGTCCTTCTCTCTTTACTTCCTCCTTCCCTCCACCCCTTCCTTTCCTCCCTCTTTCTACTTCCCTCCCACTTCCCTTCCCTTCTGCCCATCCTTCCTTCCTTCCCTCTTTCCTCCCTCCTTCCCTCTCTCTCTTTCTCCTTCCTTTTTTTCCCTTTTGTCTTTCCTTCCCTCTTTCCTCTCTCCTTCCCTCTCCCTTTTTTCTACCTTCATTTCCTTTCCTTTTCTCTCTCTCTCTTTCTCCTTCCTTCCTTCCTTCCTTCCTTCCTTCCTTCCTTCCTTCCTTCCTTCCTTCCTTCCTTCTTTCTTCCTTCCCTTTTGGTTTTCCTTCTTTCCATCTTTCCTTCCCCCTCTCTCTTTCCTTCCTTCCTTCCTTCCTTCCCTCCCTTCCTTTTTTTCCTTCCTCCTGGGACATGTTTAGCTGGGAGAAGAGAAGGTAAAGAGGGAAAAGGAGAACCATGTTTCAAGATTTAAAAGGGTGTCCCATTGCGAAAGAGGGAGGGGAAAATCTGACTTTTCATTCCTCTAGGGACCAGGGCACAAGGGAGCAGTGGGTTCCAATGGCAGGGGAAAAGGTTCAACTGAAGAGATTAGGAAGAACTTCCTGAAAGTAAGAGCTGTTGGAGAGTGGCATAGGCTGCCTGGGATTGTGATGGAGTCTCCTTCTCTGGAGGCTTTTCCGCAGAGGCTGTCTGTTGGGAGTGCTTTGATTGTTCCTTCCTGCATGGCAAGGGGTTGGACTGGATGTCTCTTCCAGCTCTAGGATTATACTGTATATCAGGAGTAGGCAATACATGTCTAATTGATAGATTTTTCTCTCTCCCATCCATGATCTCATCCTGACGAAGGCTAACCCTTTTGGGTTCCAAATGTTTCCTATCTTTCCTTCACTTTCTGCCTTAGAAAGAGAAGAGGAAGGGAAGGAGTAGGGAGGGGGCTTGGGAAGAATCCCCCTCTCGGCCCCCCACCTCACTCTGGCCTACCATGCAGCCCCCAAGTTAGAAAGTTTGCTCGTGCCTGATCTACCAGGTGCCACTGCAGAATTTGAAAGCCACAACATCTGTCTGCTCACATTCTCTAGCAGCTGACATACAGAGGCTTGTTACCTCAGATTCTAGATGTGTCAGGCATGTTTATTTGTTTGGTTGCGTTGTCCGAGAGCTTTTATATGAGCAAACTGCTTGTTGACAGCCTGCTGATTGTTGGGATTGCTATCCTTATGTAGAACATGACGATCGTGTGGGTGGAGGAGGCGGCGGCAGAAACTTTCCTGGGCGGAGGAGAAAAGGCCGGGGGCCCTTCCGAGGAAAAATGTACAGCGAAGTTAACCATCACCAGCGAAATTGGAACAATGCAGCTTCCAGCCCTCGGAGTCGGCTGGAGGAGGAAGATGGGGATGTTCTCATGAGCGATGCACATGATATGCTGCGATCCCGCTAGTGAGTAAACCCTTCTATTAACTATAAGAAGATATACAAAAGTGTGAATATATATTATTGTTGTTTCAAATTGTTCTTTTATGATGTTTTACACTTATTATGGATGTATTCGTATTGTTGTATACATGAGTTTAATACATTGTAAGCCGCTTTGGGTCCCATGAGGATGAAAAGCGGGATATAAATAAAAATTATTATTATTATCGTTAAAAACTTGATAATGATTCACTAGCATTCTGATTCCTACATGAAAATGGCAGTCAGGTATGAAAATGGGAATGCTATACAGCCTAAACCTTTATTTACATTTAGTTTATTTTTGTATACTTCCTTTCAAAAACTGAGGGTGAGCAACAGAAACCTGTCTCCAAGGCCCCATCTACATTGCGACTCATATAATCCAGTTCAAAGCAGACAAACCGGATGGAGAAACTGAATTAGGTCCAGCCTAAGTTTTATTTATTTATTTATTTATTATTCAGACTTATATGCCGCCACTCCCCTAGGGCTCGGAGCGGCTTACAAGAAACAAACTTGAATCTGACACAATTTAAAACAACATATCAAAGATCGAAAGCCTGTCAAAATAAATATAAACTAAATAACAACAACAAACAAACAAAGACACAACTCTGTGGCCCAAATGATTTACTGGAACTTTTGTCACAAGTACCACCTACCAACAGTAAAGAATTGGTGGGAAAATGAACATGCAAAAATACTGTGGGACTTTTGAATCCAGACTGACAAATGTTTTGGAACACAATACACCAGACATCATGACTGTGGAAAAGAACGAAGTTTGGGTTATGTTGCTATACCAGGTGACAGCTGCATTGAGGAAAAACAACAGGAAAAACTCAGCCGTTATCAGGACCTCAAAATCAAATTGCAAAGGCTATGGCATAAACCAGTACAGGTGGTCCCAGTGGTCATTGGCACACTGGGTGCTGTGCCAAAAGATCTCAGCCAGCATTTGGAAACAATAATAAACAAATCACGATCTGTCAACTGCAAAAGGCCACCTTACTTGGATCTGCACGCATCATTCGAAAATACATCACACAGTCTTAGAACTTGGGAAGTGTTCGACTTGTGATTTTTTTGATACGAAATCCAGCATATAGATCTCATTCGCTGTGACATACTGTGTTTTTGTGTCAATAATAATAATAATACGAATGGAACCCTGAAGAAGGAGACAGAAAGCCTGATTCTTGCAGCCCAGGAGCAAGCAATCAGAACAAATGCGATTAAGGCCAGGATCGAAAAATCAACTGATAACCCACAATGCAGACTGTGCAAGGAAGCTGATGAAACCATTGATCATATCCTCAGCTGCTGCAAGAAAATCGCACAGACAGACTGCAAACAGAGGCACAACTCTGTGGCCCAAAGGATTCATTGGAATTTATGTCACAAGTACCACCTGCCAGTAGTAAAGAACTGGTGGGATCATAAACCTGCAAAGGTTGTGGAAACTGAACACGCAAAAATACTGTGGGACTTTTGAATCCATGCTGATATATGTATCACTGAACATCCTCTGGTTTGGTGCAAGGAGGAATCCACACAGTTTGGGTTACATCCATCACCAGACGTAGGGAATCCTATGTCCCAAAGCTTTATAAATAGGTTCCTTTTTGAAGGTGGGAGAAAGAACTCTGTCTGTTGGAGGCAAGTCTATATGTTGCAATTGATCACCTTGATTAGCATTGAATAGCCTTGCAGCTTCAAAGCTTGGCCTCTTCCTGCCATACGTTTCTTTTTGTTTTGTCCACGCAACTATTTTTTGAAGGAGAATACCATGTTCTATCCAAGCTTATTCAATGAGCAGACTCTTGGGTTTTGAATCTTGGAATTCAGTGTTCTATATACCATGTTCTATATCATTTTTCTATTCTTCAGCAATCCTTATGGCCAGCGTCCAATGCGAGATCGGGAGCGGGGAAATCTAAGCAACATTAATCTCACTGTGAGACGGAATCTGAATGTTGCAGACCGGAGTGTTCCTAGGGGTCCTGCTGGCAAGAAGGCCTGGTTTAAGGTCACGGTGAGTCACAGGTTGGAAGAATACGAAAATGGAATTAATGATAGATGGTGATAAAGAATACAATAAAATGCATTAAAAAACAATAAAGAACAATACAATAAAATACAAGCAGATAAAATCAGACATAAAGCTATTGCATTAAAATAATCAAAATGAGTCATTCTTTTTAAAAAATCACCATACAGTAAAAATATATTGTAAAAGATGCTAAAACATAATACCCGTATATACTCGAATACAAGGCAACTCGAATATAACCCAAGACACCTAATTTTACCACAAAAAACACATGTATTGAGTAAAATAATGGAAATGTAATAATAATAGTAATTACAGTATAATAATAAACATAATAATAATAGAGTAAAATAATAAATGTAATAATAACAATAATTAAGTAAAATAAATGTAATAATAAATAAGAAAGGTGGGGCATAAATAGGGTAAATAAATAAATAAAATAATAAAAATAATAAATACAAAGAAATAATAAATGGCCCGGGGGCGGGGGGGGGAGGGGGGCTGTGTAAAGAAATCTGATTTCCCCAAGGACCAAAAATATGGGTTGAAATTGTGTAATTGTTCTCTAACAGGATGGCTGACAGTCATTGAAATTATCTTTTCATGTGCATTAATTCATAGTTTGGACACATTAGAAAATAAAATAATAAATGTAACAATAATAAATAGAGAAAAATAATAAATGTAATAAAATCAATAATAGAGTAAAATACTGTAAATGTAATAATAATAGAGTACAATAATAAATGTTGTAGAAATAATAATAACAGTAAAATGATTAATGTAATAATAACAATAAATAGAGAAAAACAATAAATGTAAAAATAATAATAGGATAAAATAATGTAAATGTAATACTTAGGCGACCCCTCGTTGTCTGAGGATGATGGTCCTCCAAGATCAGTGTCCTGGTGGTGGGTCTGTAGGTGACTGTGGAGCCCTATTCTTGATCTGCATCTTCTTCCACAGTGAGGGCATTGGTATCCAGGTGGAAGGCAGTCCCGGTCGGAGTTGGCTTGATGCACCTTCCTCTTGGCACATTTCTCTCTTTCGCCCCCCCATTTGTGCCTCTTCAGATTCTACATCACTGCTGGTCACAGCTGACTTCCAGCTGGAGCGCTCAAGGGCCAGGGCTTCCCAGTTCTCAGTGTCTATACCAGAGTTCTTAAGGTTGGCTTTGAGCCCATCTTTAAATCTCTTTTCCTGCCCACCAACATTCCGTTTTCTGTTCTTGATTTCGGAATAGAGCAACTACTTTGGGAGACGGTGGTCGGGCATTTGGACAGCGTGGCCGGTCCAGTGGAGTTGATGGTGGAGGACCATCGCTGGTGGTCTTCGCTTCTTCTAGCATGCTGACATTTGTCCGCTCGTCTTCCCAAGAGTTTTGCAGGATGTTCCAGAGGCAGCCCTGATGGAATCGTTCTAGGAGTTGCATGTGACGTCTGTAGACAGTCCATGTTTCACAGGCATATAGCAGGGTTGCATAGCAGGGTAATAATAGAACAAAATGATATACCTGTAACAACAATAAATAAATTAATAAATGTAATAATAATAACAGAGTAAAATAATAAATAACTTTGACTCGAGTATAAGCCGAGGGGGGCTTTTTCAGCCTAAAAAAGGTGCTGGAAAATTCGGCTTATACTTGAGTATATATGGCAATAATAATAATATGACATATTTAATTCTGATTTAATGTTTGTATATTTTTAGGTTTTAAATTGGGTTTATTGTAATCCGCTTTGAGTCTCTTTTTTTAGAGGGGAAAAAGTGGGATACTACTATTAATAATAATAAAATAAGAAAAAAATAAGAAATGAGTCTCCTTAGAGAAGACAGTTCCATCCATGCAAAATTCCCCCCATGAATTGCTGCCAAATATGGCATACGTTTTAGCTAACTGAGGAAAGAACGTCTATGGAATTCCTGGAAACTAGGGCAAAGTGCAATAGGAAAAACACTTTCCTTTGGTTCCTTTGGTAAAGCCTTATGGGCTTTATAGGTTATTGCAGTCACCTTTGATTTGGGCTCAGAAACAAAACAGGAGCTGGTGCAGCTGTTCTAACAAAAGGGTCATGTGCTTCCTGGACAATGAAGTCTGGCAGAATGGCAGTAGGACTTTTTAAACAAAGCTCAGTGGAACAATGTGACCTTGCAGTGATGTTCTCTTTGTTCCTTTTGCCCTGTTGACTTCTTTTTGGGGGTATTATAAATATGAAAGATTAAGGATTGGGGAGATATATGTTCCCTGATTTTGCTTTGACTGTCCCTGGTTTAAGGTTGGACCCTTCCGCTTTTCTTCCCTTCCTTGGGCGAAACGTCAAGACGTACTTTTTTTAGTATGCTGCCAGTGGGTGAAGAGCCATAAACTGCTTTTTTAAAACGTCCCATTATTGCTGATGTAGATGCGCCAGCCTTAACAGGCTATTCTGTTTTTGGGTTGCTGTGAGTTTTCAAGGCTGTCCAGAAGCATTCTCTCCTGACGTTTTGCCCACATCTATAGCAGGCATCCTCAGGTGTTGCGAGGTCTGTTGGAAACTAGGAAAGTGGGGTTTATATATCTGTAGAATAATGTCCAGGGTGGGAGAAAGAACTCTTGTTTGTTGGAGGCAAGTGTGAATGTTGCCATTGGCTGCCTTGATTAGCACTGAATGGCCCTGCAGCTTCAAAGCCTGACTGGGGAATCCTTTGTTGGGAGGTGTTAGCTCACCCTGATTGTTTCCTGTCTAGAATTTCGCTGTTTTCTTAGTGTTTCTCTTTATTTACTGTCCTGATTTTTTAAAATATATATTTGGTCATTTTCATGTTTTTTTTTCCTGTTGAAATTGTCCACATGCTTGTGGATTTCAGTGGCTTCTCTGTGTAGTCTGATATGATAGTTATTAGAGTGGTCCATCATTTCTATGTTCTCAAATAATATGCTGTGTCCAGGTGCTCTGCTATGGCTAACTTAGTCTGCAGTACCTTTCATGTTCCTTGATCCATGTCTGGGCAATGTTGCTGTGTTAGGGGTCCATAGCAGCATGGCGTACTGTAGACTTCTGCAGAGTCCTTCTTGTCCTTTTATCAACATAGCAGTTGTTGCATTTTCTTAGTGAGTCTGTAGATAGTTTGTATGTTGTGTCTCTTCATCAGCTGTTCTGTTTTTTCTTCTCAGATTCCCTATGGAAGAAAATATGAGAAGACTTGGCTGATTAGTGCAATTCAGAACTTATGCAGCGTCCCTTTCAATCCTGTAGAGGTAAGATCAGGCATGAGTGTCCTTTTTCCCAGATATTTCCTTGCTTTGTGCAATGATTCCTAATTTTGTTGCCTTGAAACCACACTGATTGCTCTAGTCCAGCATTTCTCAAACTGGGGGTTGGGACCTCTTGGGGGGTCATGAAAGGGTTTCAGAGGGGTCACTAAAGACAATAAGAAAACATATATTTCTGATGCTCTTGGGAACCCCTTGGGCAGAGAAGACTGAAGATCTCTCTGCCTGTTCTTTTCCTTTTTTGAAACGGGGTGAAACCTCCCACCAAAAGCCCTCTTCCGCTGTGATTGGCCAGCCTCTCAGCCAAGGGGAGGGCTGTTTCGGAGACTCCAAGTGGGGGAGGGGAGAGCAGGTGGGCTTGACGCATGGCAGCGTGGTGCGCCTGCACGGGCGAGGGAGAGTGCACGAGGCTGGAGGGAGGCTTCTACCAGCATGGCATGGGGGTTCTGTGTGGGAAGATTGGCCCAATTCTATTGCTGGTGGGCTTCGAGGGGCTCTTTAATTGTAGGTGAACTTTAAATCCCAGCAACTACAACTCCCAAATGTCAAGATCTATTTTCTCCAAACTCCACTAGTGTTCACATTTGGACATAATGAGTATCTGTGCCAAATTTGATCTAGATCCATCATTGCTTGAGTCCACAGTCCTCTCTGGATGTAGGTGAACTACAACTCCAAAACTCAAGGTCAATGCCTACCAAACCCTTCCAGTATTTTCTGTTGGTCATGGGAGTTCTGTGTGCCAAGTTTGGTTCAGTTCCATCATTGGTGGAGTTCAGAATGCTGTTTGATTGTAGGTGAACTACAACCGCAACTGCAACTCCCCTCCCAACCCCACCAATATTCAAATTTGGGCTTATTGGGTATTTGTGACAAATTTGGTCTAGTGAATGAAAATACATCCTGTATGTCAGATATTTACATTATGATTCATAACGGCAGCAAAATGACAGTTATGAAGTAGCAAGAAAAATAATGCTACGGTTGGGGGTCACCACAATATGAGGAACCGTATTAAAGGATTGCAGTGTTAGGAAGGTTGAGAACCACTGTTCTAAGGGGAAGATGCGCTGAAAGGGTGCTTGCTAGAAGCTACTGGTGTGGACAGATGTTCTGTTGTTTTTATGGATCCCCTTTAACCAACATCGTTGCAGTCATTATGGAGTTTTTACTGTTCCCTGTTTCTCCAACTCATTGCACATAGCATCATATACTAGGATGTCATTGTTGTTAAAGTTTCTTTCTTTTTCTAAAAAAACCCAGCTTTTTCTTGCTGACAGATTGTATCTCTCTCCACAGCTTCACTATGCCAACAATCGAGTAATATTTCACGTGGAGGACGTTGCTGTGGCCAATGCCCTCAGGCAGGTGTCCCGGAAGATTGTGGCACCCGATGGCTATAAGGTTTGTTGACAGTTTGCCCTGAAGGACAGGGTGGATTAGTATGGAAGAATTGGTCCAGGACAGTGGAGCATTGGTGATCAGTTTTAGATCTGACCCATTATCCCTCTTTCTGGGTCCTGTATGTAGCTCGATTGGCATGCTGTTCTTGGCTGGCTTCACTTGCAAGGTCTCTTCACTATGTCCATTGTTTCAGGTGGTGATACTCGCAAACCCATGCCTTCCACCCATAACTATCATACGTGAACTGAAACCAGAGGAGATTGAGCAACTGAAGGTGAGTAGAAGGTGATGGAAAGCACTGTTTTCTGACATTCGTTTGCTGGCCATGCTAGATCAGGATGCATTTCTGGGAACATGCCCAATTTTAAAAAAATGGGTGAGAGAAGCTATTCTATATTTTGGCTTTGTATATTTACTGTATATACCCGGATATATGCCGAGTTTTTCATCCCCTTTTTGAGGCTGAAAAATCCTCTCTCGGCTTATATTCCGAGTCAAGGGGCAATGGAGCCTTAATTTATTTATTTATTTATTTATTTGTTTGGTACACTTGTATACCGCTAATATCTCAGCCTGGAACGGTGACTCATTGCGGTTTACAGCAGTTTACAACAGTTAAAACAATCTACAATTTAAAAACATATACACATACAATAACAAATTATTGGGCCACCAATAATAATCCCATATAGCTCGAGTTGAAATCACAATCCAGAATTCGTTGTCCATGTTTCCTGTCCTTAGTCATCAATATTCGAATTGCCACAGATTAGCCGAATGCTTGTTTGAACAGCCAAGTTTTGAGTCTCTTCCTAAACACCATCAGCGAAGAGGCTGATCGTACCTCTATAGGGAGGGTGTTCCAAAGCCGGGGGGCCACCACAGAGAAGGCCCTGTCTCTCGTTCCCGCCAGCCGCACTTCTGAAGCTGGAGGGATAGAGAGAAGGGTCTCTCCGGAAGATCTTAGGGTCCTGGTGGGCTGATAGGCTGAGATACGTTCGGATAGATAAGTTGGGCCAGAACCGTTTAGGGCTTTAAAGGCCAACGCCAGCACTTTGAATTGAGCCCGGTAGCATATCGGCAGCCAGTGGAGCTGGTTCAGCAAGGGAGTTGTATGCTCCCTGCGCTCCGCTCCTGTTAGAATCCATGTTAATTGATCCATGGCACTTAAAAGTGGTGTTGAACTGTGTTGATTTTACAGTGTGGATGCACTCAAGGATAAAATGAGGCCTTGCCTTTCATTTGGCCTGAGGACAGAGGAGTGTTTTCCTGCTCTGTTTGCTGTCTCATCATTCTGATGAAGTTATCTTATTGACTTTCAGGTTTGCATGAGTAAAAGATACAATGGTTCCCAGCAGGCTTTGGACCTGAAAAATATTCATGCAGATTCAGGTGAGCTATATTAACTACTAGCTTGGGTATGCAACAATGCCTGGTTTATTTGAAAAAGTCATTTTTAAATTGTAGAAAATGCATAAGGTTGTGGATGAACTACAACTCACATCATGCCAGGTTAATCCTGAAAAACTCCATCAGTTCTTAAAGTTTGTTATGTTGGGCAAGTTTGCTCTACGTGCATCATTGGTGGGCTGGCTGCAGGGTAAACTTCAACTCCCACTATGGTGAGTCAGTCCCCTCAAATCCCTCCAGGAGGTTGAGTTAGTAATGGAGGTTCTGTGTGCCAAGTTTGGTCCAGCTCCATCATCGGTGGAGGTCACTGTTTCTGTGATTGTGAGTGAACTACAACTCCCAGAAAGGAAGGTCAGTTCCTCCCAAACTCTTCCAGTAATCAAATTGTGGCATATCATGTCTGTGTGCCAGGTTTGGTCCAGATTCATCGCTGTTTGGGTTCACAATGCTCTCTGGGTATCGGTGAACTAAAACTCCCCCAAATCAAGGTGAATTTGCCCCAAAGACCCCTAGTATTTTTTGCTGGTCATGGGGGCTCTATGTGCCAAGTTTGGCCTAATTCCATCTTTGGTGGAGTTCAGCGTGCTCATTGATTGCAGGTGAATTATACATCCCAGTACCTACAATTCTAAAATGTCCAGGCCAATTTCCCTCAAAACGCACCAGTATTCAAAACTGGGCATATTGGGTATGCATGCCCAGTTTGGTCCAGATCCATCATTGTTTGGGTTCTTGTGGCAAAGTTTTGGGCCCAATCTCCTCTTTGAAGAAAGTATCTTTGTCTGTGATGGGATTCTGGGATGTACAAGCAAAATAAATATGACAATTTTGTTTTTCAGATCTAGTAGCACAAAATATTGACATGGTATTGAATCGCAGGAGCTGTATGCAAGCTGTGCTGCAGATCATCCAAGATAACATCCCTGAGGTCAGCTGTTTTCCTTCCTCCTTCCCTGCACTCCACCTAATACCTTGGAGTTGCTTCTCTTCTGAAATGTCAGACTGAAATGTTCATTTATGAAAAATTGGCCTGTTTCAGATAAGGGGGTCTAGATCAGCAATTATTGCAGTCGGAGACTTCAAATTTTTGGGAAACTTAGTTTAACATCTGACTGCTGCTACAGCAACAATTTGAACAAAATTGGAGAACATGATGGTGGGAAGGTTTAGACCACTTGGCATGGAATGACCCCATTCACTGAAACCGTGAACATATATTTCATTGTTCTTGTTATTCTTGTTGGGCGAGTGGGCTTATTAACAAAACACTCTCCTCATAAATGTACAGCAGAGTAACTTGGCAGCAGCAACAGCATGACCCAGCACCAGTAGCCCAAAGTGATATAAAGAACAAAAGTACACAGACCAATGTTATCTCTTCCTTAGGAGGCTTTTCCTTATAGCAGTGGTTCTCAACCTGTGGGTCCCCAAATGTTTTGGCCTTCAACTCCCAGAAATCCTAATAGCTGGTAAACTGGCTAGGATTTCTGGGAATTGTAGGCCAAAACACCTGGGGACCCACAGGTTGAGAACCACTGCCTTATGGTAAAACTGTAGTTGCGCTGTTTACAAGATCAAGGTTTCCATAACATGAACAAAATTCTATACACTTGCTTCTTTGCTTCCACGCTGGGCTTCATTCTCATGCAGATGAAAAGCTTTGCTCTCACATGGCCTCTTCTCACACCGAAGTTACACAGGAGCTTCACATATTAGCTTTTTACACACAGCAGCCTTCACATGGTAGCTTTTTGTACACAGCAGCCATCACACTGGAGCTTCACACACGATGGCCTTCAACCTGGGACTTCTCTCACAGAAGCTTCTCACACCAGGTCTTCTCATACTGAAGCCTACTAATACTGAGGCCTACCTCACCCTGAGGCCTTTCTCCCAGTGAGGCCCTCTCATACTAAGGGCTCTCTCAGACTGAGGCCTTTCTTGCACTGAGGTGAACTAACCTAGAGGCCTAATCAACAACAAATTTTATTTATATACTGCTCTATCTCCCTGAGGGGACTCAACGCGGTTTCCAAGTAACATAATCAATACATACAAAGAAAACAGCATAAACATAAAATTAACAAGACAATATAAGCATTAAAAACCACAATAGCACATATATTTAAAATAATCCTGCCTGTTCAAGGCAGTTTAAAAAGCCGGGCCAGGCTAGTGCGATATTAGAGGGCCCAGGAAATTAGGTAGAGTCTATGGCTGTACATTTCCTTCGATATGCAGATGATACCACTTTGATGGCCAATAGTGAGGCGGAGCTGAGGAACCTTCTAATCAAGGTGAAAGAAGAAAGCGCAAAAGCTCGGTTGCAGCTAAACATAAAAAAAAAAAACCAAGATGATGGCAACAAGAATGATTGACAACTGGGAAATGGAGGGAGAAAAAGTGGAGGCAGTGACAGACTTTATATTTCTAGGCGCAAAGTTTACTGCAGATGCAGACTGCAGCCAAGAAGTCAGGAGACGCTTACTTTTTGGGAGGATAGCAATGACCAATTTTGATAAAATAGTGAAGAGTAGAGACATCACACTGGCAACAAAGATCCGCCTAGTCAAAGCAATGGTATTCCCCGTAGTCACCTACGGATGTGAGAGCTGGACCATAGGGAAGGCGGAGCGAAGGAAGAGAGATGCTTTTGAACTGTGGTGTTGGAGGAAAGTTCTGAGAGTGCCTTGGACTGCGAGAAGATCCAACCAGTCCATACTTCAGGAAATAAAGCCCGACTGCTCATTGGAGGGAAGGATAGTAGAGGCCAAGATGAAGTACTTTGGCCACATCATGAGAAGAAAGGAAAGCTTAGAGAAGACAATGGTGCTGGGGAAATGGAAGGAAAAAGGAAGAGGGGCCGACCAAGGGCAAGATGGATGGATGGCATCCTTGAAGTGACTGGACTGACCTTGAAGGAGCTGGGTGTGGTGACGGCCGACAGGGAGCTCTGGCGTGGGCTGGTCCATGAGGTCACGAAGAGTCGGACGACTGAATGAATGAACAACAACAATAGAAGAAAGTGACCTGGGTAATTGGTAGAAAAAGATATGGCCAATTTCAACATTATCTGGGACAGAGCTAGAACTAGTCGTTCTCAAAGGTTTGTTTAAACCACAAGGTCTTCAGGCTCTTACGAAAGGAGGGGAGGGAAGGGCGTTCCAGAGGTGGGGGGCCACCGCTGAGAAGGCCCTCTCTCTCACCCCCACCAACCGTGCTTGCGATGGTGGTGGGAGCAAAAGGAGGGCCTCCCCGGAAGATCTTAAAGTTTGTGCCGGTTCATAGAGGGAGATGTGATCGCGAAGATAGGTGGGGCTCAAACTCATATTGAGGTCCTTCTCCCACAGAGACCTCTCACAGACTGAGGGCTCCAAACTACAGGCACACCTGCTTATATTGAACTGCAACTTTTGCTGAGTCATTGCATCCACTTAACCTTTTTTAGTGCTTGACAAACATTTTTGTAATTAAAGATACTTATTTTTTCTGACAATTTATACCCCGCTTTTTCTCTCTGAAAAATAGACTCTATGTTGTAGTTCAGCCTCTGATTTTATCTGACGTCAATGGGGATGAGGGTTTTTCTGGGCTTGGAAATCTACAGGAGAAGCACTCCATTCATGAGAAACTTCAGGCCTCTCAGCAAAGTTTCTCATGAACGGAGTGTTTCTCCTGTAGATTTCCAAGGTCAAATTCCTGGGAGAGGCTCACAGCAGTGGTCAGTTGTCTGCTAGAAAAGAGAGATAAGAAATCATTTTTTGGTTGTAAGGGAAAACAAAATGCTTTCCTTTTGGTTCATGGGGCAGGAAAAGCTTTATGATACAAGGAAAGAATTCTAGCTCAGTCTCGTCAATGCTGGAGTTTCATGATGGTCTTGCTTTCAAGTGGATTTCTAGTTTCATGTTTCAAGTTTTGCCAGGTTTCTGTTCTGGGCATTGGATCTCCATGCTGCCTTGTTCCTTCAGGGTTTGCATCTTCGGATCTTGTGTTTTTACCTTTGTATCCTGAAGTTCATGGACTATCTGTACTCTTTGGTCAATACTGTTTCTATTATTTTTATTGTGTTGCTTACATATAGCCTTCAATAAATTGCTTGCTGATTTCACTACACTGGTGTGATGTTCCAGCTCTGGGATACAACACTCAAAGTGGCTTATAGTAAAACCAAAACAATACAATTTAAAACTGAAAAATATGCAAACATTAAAATAGAATTATTGTCTGTTTTCCTCACCTTTTATAGCTCCTTTCTCTGAACTTGAGTGAGAACAAGCTCTATCGGCTGGATGACATGGCTGATTTGCCCCAGAAGGCTCCCAACCTGAAGATCCTCAATTTATCCCACAACCAAGTGAGTCTTGTTATTTTATTTATTTATTTATTTATTTATTTATTATCTGAACTTATATGCCGCCACTCCCCTGGGGCTCGGAGCGGCTTACAAGAATGGCTAAAATCTAACACAGTTTAAAAACAATTTAAAACAATTTAAAAACAGCAATATCAAACATTAAAAGCCTGTCGAAACAGGTATGTCCTACATGCCCTGCGGAAAGCTGGTAAGTCCCGCAAGGCACGGACTTCAGGTGGCAGAGTGTTCCAGAGCGATGGTGCCACTGCTGTAAAGGCTCTGCGTCTGGTTGCTGTTAGACGCAAGGTCTTGACACTGGGAATTTCCAATAGATCTTGGTCCTCAGAACGGAGGGATCTCTGGGGTTGGTAGGGGGTGAGGCGGTCCCTCAGGTACATCGGCCCCAGACCATGCAAGGCCTTAAAGGTGAGTACCATCACTTTGAAAGTGATCTGGTGCTCAATTGGTAACCAATGCAGCTGTAGTAAGATTGGTGTTATGTGGCATCTCATCGGAATTCCCGCAAGAAGCCGAGCAGCTGCATTTTGTACCAACTTGAGCTTCCGGATCACCGACAGAGGAAGGCCAATGTAGAGGGCATTACAGTAGTCCAGTCTTGAGATGACCGTAGCCTGGATCACCGTAGCTAGGTCGTCCCTGGACAGGTAGGGGGCCAGCCATCTAGCCTGCCGCAGATGAAAAAAGGCGGTTCTGCTAACGGCGGAGACCTGGGCCTCCATCGTCAGCAGAGTCCAAAAGGACTCCCAGACTCTTTACCAACGATGACGGGCGTAGCGCCTTGCCATCCAGGGTAGGCAGCTGGATATCCCCATTGCCTGGTCGACCCAGCCATAGGACCTCCGTCTTTCACTCGTTGGGATCAATTCTTTGTTTTGTAATATTTTCTTTTTACCCAATCCTTGTTTTACTTTGCTCTCTTTTACCTTTCAAGTTGAAGACAGATCGTGAGCTGGACAGATTGAAGGCCTTGAAGCTTGAAGAGCTATGGCTAGATAGCAACCCGCTGTGCGATAATTTCAGAGACCAATCCACCTACATCAGGTGAGCAAAAGTTCAAAACAGCCCTGGCCAACTGGACTGACACATTCCACCTGTCTTGGGCCCTGTCTTATTCAGAGGACAACAGAACAGCATGAAGATATGCCAGCTCCTTCGAATAATAGAGTTGGAAGAGACAACAAGAGCCACCCAGTCCAGTCCCTTACATTCAGATGACAGGAAAACACAATTAAAGCACTACCGACAGATGGCCATCCAGCCTCTGCTGCTGCTAATAATAATAATAATCATCATCATCATCTTTATTTATATCCTACTTTTCTCCCCCGGTGGCTCAGAGAGTTAAACCACTGAGCTGCTGAACTTGCTGACTGAAAGGTTGGCGGTTCGAATCCAGGGAGTGGGGTGAGCTCCCACTGTTAGCCCCGGCTTCTGCCAACCTAGCAGTGCGAAAACATGCAAATGTGAGTAGATCAGTGGCGCTCCATGCAGTCATACCAGGAACATGACCTTGGTGGTGTCTACGGACAACGCCGGCTCTTCTGCTTAGAAATGGAGATGAGCACCACCCCCTAGAGTCAGGCACGACTAGACTTAATGTCAGGGGAAAACCTTTAGCTTTACTTTAGTAATAATAATAACAATGATGATGATGATGGTGATGATGGTGGTGATGGTGGTGATGATAATAATAAATCTTTAATTATATCCCACTTTTCTCCCTCACGGGACCCCAAGCAGCTTACAACACATTAAAATCATGTAAACAACAATCCCTATACATCGATAATAAGTATAAAATATCATAAAAGAAGCAGTTTAAAAAAACAATAATATACATTCACGTTCTTTTGGCATAGGACAGCAGCTTACTTGTCACAGGACAGCCTCCTGCCTAGTTGTGCTGGGTCAGTTGATTGGGTTGCCATCTGCTTTTTGCCATGGCGATGTCTTTCTGAGCTTGCCCGAAATTCCATTCTGGATTCTGATTTGTGATGCTTGTGACAATGCTTTTCATTTTAGCTGGACCAAAGTCCTGCCCCAACCCTTCCTTTCCCTGGTATCAACATTGTGAAGTTACTAGTGAAAGCTTCTCTTTGGTATTTCCAAGTGACCTTCCATATACGACCAACCTGCGGCTGGTATGCGGCCCAGTATGTTTTGCTTTTAGTTTGCTGTTTCTTCCTCTTTGTTGTTTCCTTGTCTTTGTTTCCCTTTTTTCAGGCTCTAGGGACCTCGGGATGCACAGTCTTTTCCATCCTTGTCCGTTCCCCATTATACATCACTGTCCCTTCCAATTGAACTTGCCATGCTCTACCAGCTTGTTCTAATTTGTGCCATACCAGGAGAATGCCATATTACTCAGAGGCACACAAAGCATATATTTTGGAACCTGACTTCACCTGGGAAAAAAACAATGTGGAGGTACCTTTGGACGAAGTCATTTGGCCCATACAGATGGCTGGTTAGTCGATGACGGGTAAGATTCCTTGCGGGAGGAACAACCTAAGACAGGCACAGTCACATGGCGGCCAAAACAAGCCCTTCTGCCTCCAGGGAAGATGGCAGATGAGGCACAGGCACCTCCTCGTTCTCACAATCCTCTTGGACAGTCCCAGGGTTGTCCCCAGAGAGGAAATGTTTTGATTCTCAATGAGCAAGAGCAAAGATGGTGCTAACTCTGGAGCAGAAGCAGAAATATGGTTGCAAGTAAAATCCTCTTTCCTCTCTCCACTTATATACACTTGAGGTCTGGCGAGAATGGACAGACCGGCATGGCTTGTATCTCTTGAGGGTGAGTGTAAGAGGAGTAAACGCCAAGGATGGATGAGACTGTGCAATCCATGCGGTGGGGTTTCCAGGCCTTGTTTTGTTTATTTATGTCTCCATTTCCCTTCAGTTTCTGGTGTCCCTGCTTCTCACCCCAACTGTCTTCTACATTCATTCATTTATTAAATTTGTTATGTAATTTAAAGAAAAAAATGAAAAATCTAAACCAGCATTAGCAGTCGTTTAGCAGATCTTGAAGCATCTTGAGCATAGCAGTAGAGTAAATAAGCTTCCGCAATTTACAGGAGCTGAGTCAAGCTTGAAAAGTTGCAAAAGACTTGATTACAAAATAGGAAAGCAAGGGCCAAACTATCTTAACTCACTGGAGACATCTTGTCTCTCTCAGGATAAGAACAAAAATGGGGGACTTGGGCTTGTCTTGTGCTCGGAAACAGAGCCATGCCCCTGAGAAGTATCAGTCTAACAAGGAAAGTGATAGGAGAGAGCGGAGTGACAGACAAAGTGGGCAATGCAGGATGTCCTTTTCCCTGCCAGTGAACCCATCCACTTATCTCCTCAATGAGGACTATAAACTTGTGCAGGATGTGGTTGAGTTCCTAAAAGATTTGGGCCTTGAGGCAGGGACCCTCCCAAAGCTCTTTTAAGTTGTGCACCAGGAAGTTGGCTCAGCCACCTCCTGTCCATTTCCCTTTATTCCCCCTTCCTTTGCCCTCTTTGGAGCACTTCCTGTAAGTGAGCCGCATCGGTGAGTATGAGCTCAGGTAAGTGCAGAGGGAGCCCTCCAGCGGTGTGACCTTGCTACACATCTGCATCTCATACTTGTGTGCAGAAGAGAGTCGGGACCTGGGGGGGGGGGTCACAAGGAGGGGTTGCCAAAGACCATCAGAAAACACAATATTTTCTGTTTCTCATGAGGGTTCCATGTGGAAAGTTTGGCCCAATTCTGTTGTTGGGGTTCAGAATGCTCTTTGATTGTAGGTAAACTATAAATCGCAGCAACTACAACTCCCAAATGTCCAGGGTCTATTTTCCCCAAACCTCATTGGTGTTCAAATTTGGGCACATTGAATATTGTGCCAAGTATGGTCCATTTTGGAGCCCCCAGTGGCGCAGTGGGTTAAAGCGCTGAGGTCACAGGTTCGATTCCGGGGAGCGGCGTGAGCTTCCACTTTCAGCCCTAGCTCTGCCAAGCTAGCAGTTTGAAAATATGCAAATGTGGGTAGATCAATAGGTACTGCTCTGGCGGGAAGGTAATGGTGCTCCATGCAGTCATGCCGGCCACATGACCTTGGAGATGTCTATAGAACGCCGGCTCTTCGGCTTAGAAATGGAGATGAGCACCACACCCCAGACTCAGACATGACTGGACTTAATGTGGCCCAATACTGTGTATTATATATGTATGTGTTTTATATTTTTAATCTGAATATTGTTGTTTTTAAATGCTGTAAACCGCAGTGAGTCGCCGCTCTAGGCTGAGATACTAGCGGTATACAAGTGTACTAAATAAATAAATAAATAAATAAATAAATAATGTCAGGGGACAACCTTTACCTTTATGGTCCAGATTCATCATTGTTTGAGTCGACAGTCCTCTCTGGATGTAGGTAAACTCAATGCCCACCAAAGCCTTCCAATATTTTCTGTTGGTCATGGGAGTTCTGTGTGCCAAGTTTGGTTCAATTCCATCATTGGTGGAGTTCAGAATGCTCTTTGATTGTAGGTGAACTATAAATCCCAGCGACTACAATTCCCAAATGGGTGTGCCAAATTTGGTCCAGTGAATGAAAACACATCCTGCATATCAGATATTTACATTACGATTCATAACAGTAGCAAAATTACAGTTATGAAGTAGCAATTTTATGGTTGGGGGTCACCACAACATGACAAACTGTATTAAGGGGTTGCGGTATTATTAGGAAGTCTGAAAACCACAGTGCTAGATGCTAGAGAGTAGAATCTGTTAATGTCATTCTGAACCAATATCAGGGAGCAGAGCTATAATAATACAAGTGATCTTATATCCAGAACGACCTGGACAATAATATAAAGAAAAGTTGCTTTATATTTCCCCATCAGAAGATCAGTTTCCATTATAAACAATCACGTATCATCTACCTGATCTTCCATCTTGCTTCCATGAGTTAATTTCAATATAAATAATGGAGCCCTCAGTGGCACAGTGGGTTAAACCGCTGAGCTGCTGAACTTGCTGACCGAAAGGTTGGTGGTTGGAATCTGGGGAGCGGGGTGAGCTCCCACTGTTAGCACCAGCTTCTGCCAACCTAGCAGTTCAAAACATGCAAATGTGAGTAGAACAATAGGTACTGCTCTGGCAGGAAGGTAACTGCCCTCCATGCAGTCATGCCGGCCACATGACCTTGGGGGTATCTATGAACAACACCGGCTCTTCAGCTTGGAAATGGAGATGAGCACCAATCCCCAGAGTTGGGCACAACTAGGCTTAATGTCAAGAGGAAACCTTTACCTTTACTTAATGGAGTGAGCACCCAAAGAGATCAAGTTTAATGCAGTTTGTTATGAAACTAATACATGCTCCTTGTGTATGTAAATTTCCTTGGCTTCCAAGGATACATACAATTTGACAGCCTCTTAATGGCGAGTAAAGCCACTGTTTTCTTAGCCTTATGTGATGCTTTTCTGTGGGATGTAAAATTCCTGCTTATTGCATTTAAGATCCCACGTTTTCCTTTTGAATCCAAGCAGTGAGGTGCTATTATGTTTAACCTCTGGGTGCACAGGGCAGTAAATATAGACACTCGTCTTGAGAGCAATCGAAGGAGCTTCTGGGTTGTTTTTCGGGCTATATGGCCATGTTCCAGAAGCATTCTCTCCTGACGTTTCGCCCGCAACTATGGCAGGCATCCTCAGAAGTTGTGAGGTTGATCCTCAGAGGTTGTGAGGAGGGAGCTTCTTGTTCTGTCCACCATCACTATCCTAGTTCTAAGGGGCAGAAGGCAGGCTGTCACATTGGAGGAAAGTTGGGGCTGAGTTAGGAAGAATAGAGGCCACCAAGACGGGCCACAGATGGGGGCAGGCAGTGCCCTTGACACACAAAACTTGTTTCACTTCTTTCCCCTTTCTGACAGTGCCATCCGAGAGCGGTTTCCGAAGCTCCTGAGATTGGTGAGTTGAGCCCAATAGAGATTTCTAGTGGGAAGTTTGGTATTGAGCTCACTTCTGCGTGTTTGACATTGCTGTCTGCTTTTCGTTCCATAGGACGGCCATGAACTCCCCCCTCCTATCACGTTTGATGTTGAAACACCGACCACGCTCCCTCCAACCAAGGTACAGCAATGAAGGGAGAAAGGATGGGTGTTGCTATCAAAGGCAGCAAGATGGCACATTTATGTTCCAACATTAGCATCTCTGCATGGTCTAGACCAGGGCTTTCCAAATGTTTTGTGTTGGTGTATCGTTTTGTGACATGATAATTCAGTTTTACTAACAAACAATATAGAAAATATTATATGTTAGCTTGGGTCCCCAGCATTCCCCAGGTTATTTGAAAAAGTCAGTTTTTAATTGTACAAAATGCATAAGGTTGTGGGTGAACTACAACTCTCACCATGACAGGTTAACCCTGATAAACTCCATCAGTACTTAAAGTTTGTTTTGTTGGGCAAGTTTGCTCTGGATGCATTATTGGTGGGGTTTAGTGTGCTCTCTGGCTGTAGGGTAAACTATAACCCCCACTATGGTGAGTCAGTCCCCTCAAACCCTCCAGTAGGTTGAGTTAGTCATGGGGGTTCTGTGTGCCAAGTGTGGTCCAGATCCGTTGGTGTTTGGGTTCATAGTTTGGTCTAGATCCATTGGTGTTTGGGTTCATAATTTGGTCCGGATCCATCGGTGTTTGGGTTCATAGTTTGGTCCAGATCCATTGGTGTTTGGGTTCCTAGTTTGGTCCAGATCCATTGGTGTTTGGATTCATAGTTTGGTCCAGATCCATTGGTGTTTGGGTTCATAGTTTGGTCCCGTTCCGTCAGTGTTTGGGTTCATAGTTTGGTCCAGATCCATTGGTGTTTGGTCCGGATCCATCGGTGTTTGGGTTCATAGTTTGGGCCAGATCCATCAGTGTTTGGATTCATAGTTTGGTCCAGTTCCATCGGTGTTTGGGTTCATAGTTTGGTCCAGACCCATCGGTGTTTGGGTTCATAGGTTGGTCCAGATCCATCGGTGTTTGGATTCATAGTTTGGTCCAGATCCATTGGTGTTTGGTCCAGATCCATCGGTGTTTGGGTTCATAGTGCTCTCTGGGTGTAGGTGAACAACAACTCCATCAAATCAAGGTGAATTTTCCCCAAAGACCTCCAGTAGTTTTTTGCTAGTAATGGGGGCTCTGTGTGCCAAGTTTGGTCCAATTCCATCTTTGGTGGAGTTCAGAGTTCTCGTTGATTGCAGGTGAACTATAAATCCCAGTATTTACAACTCCAAAATGTTCATGCCAATTCCCCTAAAAATCCACCAGGATTCAAATTTGGGCATATTGGGTATGCATACAAAGTTTGGTCCAGATCCATCATTGTTTGGGTTCATAGTACACTCTGGATGTAGCTGAACTACATCTCCTATAAATCCCTCCAAAGACTTCCAGACTCCCAGGGGGGTTCTATGTGCTAAGTTAGTTCCAGGTCCATTGTTGGTGGAGTTCAGAGCACAGTTCTTATTTTGCAGGTGAACTATATATCCCAGTTCCTACAACTCCAATAAATCATGGCAAATTCTCCCCCAGCCTCTTTAGTGTGTTCAGTTGCCGATCAATTTCTGTTTGCTGTGTGACATAGAAAAGATTTGGGAAGGGTTATGGGAGAGGCGGTGGGGTCATGCAAATCCCACACTAATTGAGAGAGTCAGGAATACTGGGTGTCTGTGTTGGAGGAAAAACAGAAATTCTAGGATGAAATGGTCCCCATATGAAAGCTTTCCTTTGAATGGTGGACATTGGCAGGGCTCTTGGACAGGTTCATGGTGCTTGCTATAACCTGCAATGTCATTGGAGGGAGGACCTTTGGTGGGGGTCATAGTTGTTTGTGGAAGTGGGAGCTTGTCTATGGAAGTGGGAGTCTCAGCTACATACATACATATTTCACTTTTATTATGTGTGTATGTATGTTTGTGTGTGTATATGTGTGTACACACACACATATATATTCTAGGCTTGGGTAACTACGGAAAAATTTGGTTCTAAACTCGTTTCGTTTTTAGGGGGTTTTTGCGTTTCGTTTTTTAAAAGAATTCCGAAATTTTTCTTTAAAAAAGTTAGATATTTACGAAATTTCGAAACAATAACAAATCAATTCGTTAATGGCGGACGCGATTGCGCAATATGCTAAAAAACCCTCCAAATGGGACAGGGGGAACTTCTGAAGCTTCCCTCTCCCTCTGTTGTTGACTGTTGGTGTGATAATTTATTTTTTATCACTGATAAAACAAACAACAACCCTAAAACTTGCACCAGACAATATCGAAACAATTTCGAAACAATATCGAAACAATTATGAAATAAATTGAAAAAATTGTTTTGATTTTTTATTACTCCTGCATGGCTCAATATCGGATCGTAAGCTAATTTAAATACGAATTAATAACGAATTACGAAATTAACGAACGAAACCGCCCAAGCCTAATACATTCATATAATCCTTGCTGTACGAATGAAGTTTGGACATTTTTCCTTTAGGCTTCTTATGGTTTATTATTTTGTAATTTCCTCTATAGCTGCTCCATGTGATTCATCGCCAGCATCATCAACAGATTTTCTTAATTCTTAATTCGAAACTTGCCCATCATAGTTTAGTTTATCTATTTAATTGCTGCAACTCAATTGCTGTAAAAGTAATTGTGCAAATTAGAGAAGTTATAGTCTGACCTACACTTGAGCAGCATCAGTATTCCACTTCTGTAGTAATGAACCCTCTCTGGAAGTTTGTAAACAGAGGCTGGATGGGCAATTGTGGGGAGAGCTTTGACTGTGTCCTCTTGCTGGCTGAAGAGGGTTGAACTCTAAATGCAGTTTGAAAGGAGTGTATGGCCTGTGGACCAGTTTAACAGTTGGCTCCTCTTTTTGACTCTTCCTATCCAGGGCAGTTATTTTTGCTCCGAAGGCTTGAAAGTGCTGATTGGGCAGTTTCTGCAACAGTAAGTATCCAAAAGTTAATCTCAGTTTTCCAGTCACCGTGTGTGTGTTTTGAAAGACTGTGTTCTCATAGAGACAGGACTAAATATACATTAGATATGTAGTGCTATATTTTAGAGGTAACTAATAATTGCTCTCTTTTGTCCCCAGTTCTGAACCTAATAATAATAATAATAATAATAATAATAATAATAATAACAACAACAACAACAACAACAATAATAACAATGATAGTAATAGACAGCAGAATTGACGAGAAGCAGTAAAACTGGCACGATTCGAGGATTTAAAGATTGAACTCCAAAGATTCTGGCACAAGCCAGTGGTGATCGGCACACTAGGTGCAGTGCCTGAAGACCTTGGCCTGCACTTAAAAACAATCAGTACTGACAAAATTACCATCTGTCAGCTGCAAAAGGCCACTGACAGATGGTAATTTTGCACGCATTTTTTGCCAATACATCACAAAGTCTTAGACACTTATCCTGTGTTTACTGTATTTTGACCATTGTTCTGTGCATTTTAACATAAGTATTTCATAGAAATATGTTTTAATATTTGTATTTTAAATAATGTTTTATGATAATGTATTTTTAATGATGTGCGGGTAAGAAATATAATAATAATAATTATAATAATAATATCAACAAAACAACATAGTTAAAACACTATAAAAGTGTATATTGCAATATTGTTATTATTAATATATTAAAACATAGTTAAAATACAACCATACAAGTATATATTTAAACTTCCTTCCTTCCTTCGAGGCTCTTTAGCTCTTTGCTTGCGCTTTTGCAATGGCGGCCATCTGCACAATTCTTTACTATGCATCTAATTGAAGAATTGAGTCTGATTCTTTTTAAAGCAACGTCTGTGTTCTCTCTCCCCTCCTCCCCAAACATAGGTATTACGCCATCTATGACTCTGGGGACCGGCAAGGGTTATTGGATGCCTATCACGATGGAGCATGCTGCTCCTTAAGTATCCCCTACGCAGTTCAAAACCCTGCCAGGTACGTTGCTGCTTTGAAGCTCTCTTCTCTTGTTGAAGGCTTTCATGGCCGGAATCACTGGGTTGCTGTGAGTTTTCTGGGCTGTCTGGCCATGTTCCAGAAGCAGTCTCTCCTGATGTTTTGCCCACATCTATGGCAGGCATCCTCAGAGGTTGAGAGGTCTGTTGGAAACTAGGCATGGGGTTTATATATCTGTGGATATATAAACCCGGGCCAGATAACACCTCCCAACAAAGGATTCAAAGGAAGCAGCCAGGCTTTGAAGCTGCAAGCTATTTAGTTCTAATCATGGTGGCCAATTGCAACATTCACACTTGATTATAATGATTATTATTATTATTTTCTCCATGCAGTTTCTGTGTTTTGTTGGTACCCAGAACAGGCCATATCTCAACTCCTCTGCCATTTCCTAGCTACTGAGATGCATTTTTCTCTATATCTATTTTTTTAGTAATTAAGTTAAAGGTTTCCCCTGACCCCCTCCCTCCTGTCCTTTAGAAGGATGGTAAAAACTTGGCTGTGGGACCAAGCTTTCGGGACAGGGCAATAAAGCGGCAATAGCAAAGATGACAAGGCCAAAATATTAGATTTGATGCGGATGACTGGGATGGTTTTGAATGGTGTATTTTAATATTTTGATAAATGGTTTTAGTGTTTATATATTGTATGTGGATTTGTGTCCCGGCATTGAATGTTTGCTGTGTATATGCTGTGCTCTGCCCTGAGTCCCCTTCGGGGTGAGAAGGGCGAAATATAAATGTTTTAAATAAATAAATAAAGTCCGACTCTGGGGGTTTGTGCTCATCTCCATTTCTAAGCCGAAGAGCCCATGCTGTCCGTAGATACCTCCAAGGTAATGTGGCATAGAGTGCCATTACCTTCCCAACCTATTGATCTACTGACACATGCACATTTTCGAACTACTAGGTTTGCAGGAGCTGGGCTCATAGCAGGAGCTCACCCCACTCCCTGAATTCAAACCACCGACCTTTCACTCAGCAAGTTATGCTTAGCAGTTTAGCCTCCTGCGCTACCTGGGACTCTCTTTAGTAATTATCCCTCTTTAAAAAACTCTCCAATTCATTAGGTTTCCCCACTGTGTCCTTTTTTTAATTGCATTGAGCTTTAAACAGTTTTATTCTTTGCTCCTTTTTTTGTTACTTCAAATCTATACAACAGCATGAAGGAGCTAGAGATTTAGTAAAACGGTCTTAATCACTTGATCCCTACCAATTATTGTCTCTATGTCCCAGTATGCAAACAAAGGACTGGGTTTTTCTTCGGAAGTGAAATGCTGAGATTGTGTTTTGTTTCCAGGAGCAGTTTAGTCGAATACTTCAAGAGCAGCAGAAATGTGAAGAAACTGAAAGATCCCAGTAAGCAAGAGCAAACAACAGCTAAATGGTTTTGGGGCAAGAAAAAGGGGGTGCGATGGCTGGCAATAAGAGTCTCGGGAAATAAACTGTGTCCTCTCCTCTTTTTTACCCCGCAGCCATGCGCTTCAGGCTTCTCAAGCACACCAAGTTGAATGTGGTGGCGTTCCTCAGTGAGCTTCCCAAGACGCAGCACGATATCAATTCCTTTGTGGTGGATGTCTGTGCCCAGACGGTGAGTGGGGAGGAGGAACTCGCCAAATACATCAGGGACAGTCAGAATGAGTAATTAACATATATTGATAGCCCCCTCCAATTGTCCTTTATATGCTCTGAAACACTTGGAGTTTTGCAGTAAGAAGGATTGAATTCTGTACTAAAATATTCCTTTAGATATAGTTCCCTCATAGCGCTTACTTTCCGGTGAGCTGTATGATTTCTTCCTTTCAGTGGCTTGCATGCTGCTAATGTTTGTAATCTTTTAAATTCAATCATTTGATAAAGTTGCAAATTGATCTTTCTTCTGTGTATTTTAATATATGTGTTTCATAGAAATATGTTTTCATGTGTTTATAATTGAGATAATATTTTATGAGGATGTATTTTTAGTGAGGGTCTGCCCGACCAGGGCTACCAAATGGCAAGAAACTCACCAAAAATTTCCCATTTGCTGTACATGGATGATCTAAAGAAGGGGTCCTCAAACTTTTTAAACAGAGGGCCAGGTTACAGTTCCTCAAACTGTTGGAGGGCTGGATTATAATTTGAAAAAAAAAATGAATTCTTATGCACACTGCACATATCTTATTTGTAGTTCAAAAAACACTTTAAAACAATATAATAATTAAAATGGAGAAGCATTTTAACAAATATAAACTTATTAGTATTTCAGTGGGAAGCGTGGGCCTGAGTTTGGCTGATGAGATAGGATTGTTGTTGTTGTGTGCTTTTAAGTTGTTTCAGACTTAGGTTGACCCTGAGCGAGGGCTGGGTAAATGACCTTGGAGGGCCGTATCTGGCTCCTGGGCCATAGTTTGAGGACCCCTGATCTAAAGCTTTATGGAAAATCAGAAACTGGAATTCAGTCACTGACCAAACCAGTTAGAATCTTTAGCACTGACACAGCGAGGGCATAGAGATGCCAAATGGACAAAACATAAAGTGCAATATCCTGAAGCCTATAAATATCTGGGCATGCTACAACTGGACAATATCAAGCGTGGTCATGTGAAAAAGGTGGTCAGCAAAGAGTATGTCCAAAAGGTCAGAAAAATTTCGAAGAGCAAATTAAATGATGGAAATAGGATCAAGGCTCTCAACCCCTGGGCCATCCCTGTCATCAGATACACGGCTGGAATTGTGAACTGGACGCAAGCAGAGCTGGATGATCTGGACAGAAAAACAAGAAAACTGATGACAATCCATTCCTTTTGACACCCACGTAGTTATGTCGACAGACTTGACCTGCCCAGGAAATCAGGAGGCAGAAGGAGGGCGTCTGCAAGTGAAACAAACAATAGAAAAAGAGAAACATGCACAGGGAAATAAGTCAAGAACCAATATTGATGGAAGTCAATAGTACAAAACTGCTTCAAGTGCAAAAGACAAAGAGTGAATACAAGGCAGAGCAGAAGAGAAAACTGGCGAAAGAAGGCTCTCCATAGACAGTTCCTGGGAAACATTGAGAACAAAACTGACAAGGAAAAAACATAGGCATGGCTCACAAATGGAACTTTGAAAAAGGAGACAGAGGGCCCAATTCTTGCAGCTCAAGAACAAGCCATTAGAATCAATGCCATCAAAGCCAGAATTGAAAAGTCGACGACAGATCCCAAGTGTAGACTCTGCAAGGAAACAGACAAAACAAAGAATCATGTCCTCAGCTGTTGCAAGGAGATCGCACAGACAGACTACAAGCATAAGCATAATACCATTGCTCAGATGATCCTTTGGAACTTGTGCCACAAACACCATCTGCCTGCGACAAAGAACTGGTGGGATCACAAGCCTGAAAAAGTTATACACAAAATGAACATGTCAAACTACTCTAGGACTTCCGAATCCAGACTGACAGAGTTTCGGAGCATAAGACTCTTGACCTCAGTATCATGGGGAAAAACAAAGTATAGATCGCCAGTGTTGCAATCCTAGGTGACAACAGACAGGACAGGACTAAATATACATGTAGTGCTATATTTTAGGGACAACTAATAATTGTTCTCCTTTGTCTCCAGTTCTGAACCTAATAATAATAACAATCATCATCATCATTCAGCATATCTATCTCATTTGCTGTGACATACTGTGTTTTTGTGTCGATAAAGTAATAACAACAACAACAATAGATTTAATAGAATTAAAGATCGAACTGCAAAGACTGGCAAAAGCCAGTAAAGGTGGTCCCAGTGGTGATCGGCACACTGGGAGCAGTGCCTAAAGACCTTGGCCTGCACTTAAATACAATCGGCGATGACAAAATTACCATCTGCCAGCTGCAAAAGGCCACCTTACTGGGATCTGCACGCATTGTTTGCTGATACATCACATAGTCCTAGACACTTGGAAAGTGTCCGACCTGTGATCCAATACAACAGCCAGCAGAGTGATCTTGTTTGTTGTGGACTCCTCTTGTTGTGTTTCAAATAATAATAAGGTAAACTGCAGAATCTGTATTCTGATAGATAAATTCTGAAAGCCGTTTTTTTTTAATTTCAGAGCACACTGCTGTGTTTCACATTGCATGGAGTTTTCAAGGAAGGTGCGTATATTATTTTTTTATATAATAATTTTTATTGAAAGGAAGAACAATTGTAATATAGCAATAATAAAATGAACAGATTATAAAGTTATATTTTTTTTAAAAAAGTTACTCATCTACCTTTTAACTGATACAGTACTGCTAAACACTACAAATAAGAAAACAAAAACATACAAACAAATAAAAAAACATAAACACAAAAATAAACAAATACAGAGACATACACATTTCAGAGCATCTGTGTTTCGCAATGAATGGGATTTTTGAGTAAGGTGCGTATACTCTAAAAACAATTTTATTGAAGTCATAATGCAACAAAAATAAGCAAACAGATTATAAAGTTTGGTTGCTGTGAGTTTTCTGGGCTGTTTGGCCATGTTCCAGAAATATTCTCTCCTGAAGTTTTGCCATATCTATGGCAGGCATCCTCAGAGATTGTGAGGTCTGTGGACATCTGTGGAATGTCCAGGGTGGGAGAAAGAACTCTTGTGTGTTGGAGGAAAGTGTGATTAGCATTGAATAGCCTTGAAGCTTCAAAGCCTGGCTGCTTCCTGCCTGGGAATCCTTTGTTGGGAGGTGTTATCTGGCCCTGATTGTTTTTTCTCTGGCTTTCCCATGTTTTTTAGTGTCCTGATTTTGAAGTTTTTAAAATACTGGTTGACAACAGATTATAAAGTTGCTTTATAACTCTTATTTGCCTTCTAACCAACTCTACCACATTTCTGCTAAATATCTATTACAAATAACAAAATGAAAAACAGAAAAACAAACACAAAGATGAAACAAATACAAAAAATACAGCTAAACAACAAACATAAAAAAACTGCTGGCTGTCTAGTGCCCACAATGAAAATTCTCTTCTGCTCTTTTGAATTTCTACAGTGGATGGCCGATGTCGGGATTCAGTGCGATCCTTCACCCGTGTTTTTATCGCTGTTCCTGTTGGCCATAATGGGTAAGGGAGCACTTTAAAATCCTCACCCAATTCAGGGATTGCATGACATAAATCTCTTTATTATTTATTTATTTGTTTACAGTATTTATATTCCATCCTTTTCAGGGCGGATTACAATGCACATATACATGACAAACATACAGTGCCATTAGACATTCAACATATATAGACAGACACAGAGGCAATTTAACATTCCAGCTTTCCGACTTCATGAGGGTATGCTTGATTCCAGCTACAGGGGGAAGCTGCCACTTCACCATCTACTTATGACACCGAGTCCTGGATGGAGTACTTCCTCATTCTTTACACACGCTACTGGAAGGTTTTATGGTGTCGTAAATTAGTTAAATTAGCCTCCCTGCATAAAATGATACCTAAAATTCCTACTTGTCAGATGCAACTGTCTTTCGGGCTGCATAGGTCAACAGCAAGCTAGACTATTAATGGTCGGGAGCTCACTCCGACCCAGGCTGGCTTCAAACTCATGACCTCTTGGTCAGTAGTGATTTAATTCAGTTTTTCTACTAACTAGCTATGCCACAGCCCATATAATAAGAATAATAGTAAGAATAATAATTAGTATTTGTGGTGAAGTGTAAATTTTTAATTTGCAGTTATGTATAATTATAGATAGATGTTTTAAAGGGTAAGTATTTAAAGTTGCATAACTAGGGGGGATGGTAGCCAGCTCAGCTCATGTTGAGCTGGGTTACCATGGAAACAGGGGCGGACCCAACTGCCACTTGGCAGGGCAGCCATTTTAAAACAGTTAGTCTACAGTCTGTGAACTGTAGGAGTGGCTGGTTCTGTAGTAGTGAGAACCAGGAAGGTAATCTGTAGTTTAAAAACTACAGGAAAAGGCTGATTCTATAGTAGTGAGAATCAGGAAGATTTTGGCTTTTAGCCTGAGTAGTTTAAATAAATCGAGCTGACTTATTTATATTAATAGTTAATGTATGAGAGAAAGGGTGAGAGAAACACAGTGAAAATCTCTATTGCAACAGAAACATCACAAAGAAAGAATAAGCTTGAAACACAGTTTGAAGAAATACAGTTTGAAGAAACACAGTTTGAAGGAAAAATAAGTTTGAAACCTGTTTAGTGGAAGTAAGAGTCCTTTCCGGAACTGTTTAAGAAACGTTATAAATGTAACCTATGAAGATAGGTGCCTCTAAGAGTAAGAAACATTGAAACCATCATGCTCCTTCTACATTTCAATAAACGTGTTACTGTTTTTTTCTAAAGCCCGGTCTCTGTTACAATTCCTTTCCAATCTAAATCACGCTACACATTAAAGAAAGACCAAGTCAACATCACTAGCTGTTAGCTACGCTATCAAATTAATAAACCTTTAGAAAGTTGTGGCTCCTTTAAAAACTCTTTACAAATTAGTGGCCTCGTTACAAATTAGTGGCCTTTACAAATTAGTGGCCTCTTTATTAATGACTTAGATGAAGGGCTAGAAGGCATGATCATCAAGTTTGCAGACAACACCAAATTGGGAGGGTGAGCCAATACTCCAGAGGACAGGAGCAGGATTCAAAATGATCTTGACAGATTAGAGAGATGGGCCAAAACTAACAAAATGAAGTTCAACAGTGACAAATGCAAGATACTCCACTTTGGCAGGAAAAACGAAATGCAAAGATACAGAATGGGGGACAATGCCTGGCTCGAGAGCAGTACGTGTGAAAAAGATCTTGGAGCTCATGGACAACAAGTTAAACATGAGCCAACAATGTGATGTGGCGGCAAAAAAAGCCAATGGGATTTTGGCCTGCATCAATACGAGCATAGTGTCTAGATCTAGGGAAGTAATGCTACCCCTCTATTCCGCTTTGGTTAGACCACACCTGGAATATTGTGTCTAATTCTGGGCACCACAATTCAAGAGAGATATTGACAAGCTGGAATGTGTCCAGAGGAGGGCGACTAAAATGATCAAGGGTCTGGAGAACAAGCCCTATGAGGAGTGGCTTAAGGAGCTGGGCATGTTTAGCCTGAAGAAGAGAAGGCTGAGAGGAGATATGATAGCCATGTATAAATATGTGAGAGGAAGTCACAGGGAGGAGGGAGTAAGCTTGTTTTCTGCTTCCCTGGAGACTAGGGCGCTGAACAATGGCTTCAAACTACAAGAGAGGAGATTCCATCTGAACATGAGGAAGAACTTCCTGACTGTGAGAGCCATTCAGCAGTGGAACTCTCTGCCCCGGAGTGTGGTGGAGGCTCCTTCTTTGGAAGCTTTTAAACAGAGGCTGGATGGCCATCTGTCAGGGGTTATTTGAATGCAACATTCCTGCTTCTTGGCAGGGGGTTGGACTGGATGGCCCATGAGGTCTCTTCCAACTCTTTGATTCTATGATTCTATTACTATATGGAGCTGTCTTCACCCCATCTGGGAAGGCTGTCCTAAAGCCCCAGAAAGTGAAACACCTCAAACTCTTGTTTCTTCTCGCCCACATTTTCTATTATATATTTTTTCTTCCACAAAGTGGCCTAACTAAACAGCCTTTGGGCTTCACTTCTCTTTTGGTGTCCTTTTCTCCTCCCGCAGACTGTGCATTGTGAACGATCAGCTGTTTATTCGCAAGGCCAGCAACATGGAAATCCGCAAGGCCTTTGTCATGCCGGCACCCACTCCGTCCTCCAGCCCTGTGCCCACCCTCACGGCGGAGCAGCAGGAGATGTTGCAGAACTTCTCACTGCAGTCGGGGATGAACCTCGAGTGGTCTCAGAAGTGAGTAGCGGGCCAAAGGAGGGTGACAGACTGGAAAAGTGTTACGATGTCTTATAACTTCATGTTCTGCTTCTCTCCTAAAGGTGCCTTTTGGACAACGATTGGGATTATACGAAAGCAGCCCATGCCTACACCCAGCTCAAGGTGAGCTCTCTTCCGCAGATTCAGTCTTATATTGCATCTTATACTGCATTATTATTATTGTTATTACTGCATCCTATACTGCATTATTATTATTATTATTATTATTATTATTATTATTGCATCTTATACTGCAATATTATTATTATTACTGCATCTTATACTGCATTATAAGTTTGAAGAAAAATAAGTTTGAAGTAGAGCTTACAAAAATGTTTTTCGCAACACACAACTGTGTTGCCTGTAGTCCATAGCTGAGTTGCGTGAAAAATTATCCCCCTGCCTTCCCCACAAAAAAAGTCTGCCAGGATTGGGGGGAGTGTGTTGGCTGCCTCAGGAGGAGGGAGAGGAAGATATCACCAAAGAACATCTACTCAAACCCCTTTCCACCGGACAGAAAATCACAGTCAAAGCCCTCCCAAAAGATGGACATCCAGCCTCAGTTTCAAAACTTCCACAGAAGGGCTCCAGCATTCTATACTTCACTGGAATTGAAAGAATCCCACAAAGAGCATCTAGTTGAACCCTCTTGTGCCAGACAGAAAGACACAGTCAAAGCCCTCCCAAAAGATGGCCATCCATCTAGACAAACCCCTTTCCACCAGACAGAAAAACAGCCAAAGCCCTTTTAAACTGAGACATCCAGCCTCAGTTTAAAAACTTCCACAGAAGGGCTCCAGCATCCCATACTTCACTGGAGTTGGAAGATACTCCCAAAAGAGTATCCAGTACAACTCCCAGCCAGGCAGGCCGAAAGACACAGTTAAAGCCCTCCCAACAGATGGCCATCCATCCTCAGTTCAGAAACCTCTAAAGAAGGACTTGTTGTTTTTTGGTTGTTTTATTGTAAAGTACTATGTATATTGGGAATCCCCGGTGGCGTAGTGCGTTAAAGCACTGAAGTTGCTGGCTGAAAGGTCAGCAGTTCGAATCCGGGAGCAGGGTGACCTCCTGCTGTTAGCCTCAGCTTCTGCCAACCTAGCAGTTCAAAAACATGCAAATGTGAGTAGATCAATAGGTACCGCTCTGGCGCTCCATGCAGATATGCCAGCCACATGACCTTGGAGGTGTCTATGGACAGCGCTGGCTCTTCAGCTTAGAAATGGAGATTGAGGCACCTAATTTTACTACAAAAAACTGGTAAAAATTATAAGCTGAGGGTGGGAAATGCAGCAGCTGCTGGTAATTTTTTTTAAAAAAATAGATACCAATAAAATTACATTAATTGAGGCATCAGTAGGTTAAATGTTTTTGAATATTTGCCGTATTTCAAAAGAAAACAGTAAACTAGCTCTGTAAGTGGAAAAGGAGGGTCAACAAAAACAATTATATTATCAATCATCATCATCATCATTTGTATCCTGCCTTATCTCCCCATGGGGACTCAGGCTGGCTTCCAACATAGTAACAGGCAAACATTCTATGCTTATATAAACATTGCAGAGCTAGATCTAGATCTATAACTATATATACTCATTGCACATATGCATTTCCCCCTAAAACATATGCATTTCCCACCAAGCTTTTGGGACAGTGCAATAAAGCAGCGATAGGAATCCTTGCCAGGCCAATTAGATTAGACGCAGATGATCAAGAAGTGTATTTTAATATTGATACAAATGTTTTTAATGTTGATGTATGCATATAATGAATTTATTGAATGTTTGCTGTATATATGCTGTGCTCCACCTTCTCAGGGTGAGAAGGGCAGAATATGTTTTAAATAAATAAATAGAATTTGTAAATCTTCAGAGGCATCCAAAGGATGGTAATATAGAGATAGGAAGAATTAGCTACTGGGCTATAAGTTTGTATGTATATAGTTCTCAGAGACAGCCAAAAAATGGGAATATGGTGATCGAAAATAGCTACTGGCAAATAAATATGTATGTATGCAGTGCTCGGAGCTCCCCATGGCACAGTGGGTTAAACTGCTAAACTTGCAAATTGAAAGGTCGCAGGTTCGAATCCGGGGAGCAGGGTGAGCTTCCGCTATTAGCCCTGGCTTCTGCCAACCTAGCAGTTCGAAAACATGCAAATGTGAGTAGATCAACTGTTCTGGCAGAAAGGTAACGGCGCTCCATACAGTCATGCCAGCCACATGACCTTGGAGGTGTCTATGGACAGCGCTGGCTCTTCAGCTTAGAAATGGAGATGAGCACCAGAGTCCCAGAGTCAGATACAACTAGACTTAATGTAAAGGGGGAAACCTTTACCTTTAAAGAGGAATTAAACATTAACTGTATTAAACATTTAAAATTCTTAAAATGGATAATAGTGACATTGTGTTTGATTTGATGAAGGCTTTCATGGCCGAACACTGGGTTGTTGTCTGTTTTCCGGGCTGTCTGGCCATGTTCCAGAAGCATTCTCTCCTGACGTTTTGCTTGCATCTATGGCAAGCATCCTCAGAGGTTGTGAGGTCTGTTGGAAACTGGGAAAATTGGGTTTATATATCTATGGAATGTATATATATAAAGAACTCCCACCCTGGACATAATTCCACAGATATATCAATCCAATTTTCCTAGTTTCCAACAGACCTCACAACCTCTGAGGATGCCTGCCAGAGATGCAGGCGAAACATCAGGAGAGAATGCTTCTGGAACATGGCCATACAGCCCGGAAAACTCACAACAACCCGATGTTGTGTTTGTCTGTCTTAACCATGTTGTAACCCACACCAAGCCATAGGGAGATGTGAGTAACTATTATTCTTTACCCCTTTTCTCCTTTCTCCAGGCTGAGCAGAAGATTCCAGAAGTGGCGTTCATCCACTGAGCGTCACCACTGTTTCCCAGACCAGGGTTTTATCTCGAAGCTGCTTTGTTTTGTAAATAAAATGTTTCACTGTGTAAATTAAAGAGACTCACCATGTTGGGTGAGAAAGCCCTTTCTCCATTGGGATAAAGGCTGTGAAATGTTTGGCGAAGAGGCAAGAAACGGCCGAAGAATTCATATGTGATCTTCTTTTTTTTTTAGAGAGGAAAGAACTGTAAGAGGGTTTCCGGACTTGTGTTCTCCCTTTCCCTTTAAGTTGGAAACATTTGTTTTGCATAATCAAAATCTGTTCCGTTTTTGAGCGTTGCGTCTTGTATATCTAAGTTAAGAAAGGGCCAGCAGTTCCTGACACAGCAGAGTTTGACTGTAATGCAAGGCAAGCCAGGCTTATGGCACATTCAACTTTGGGTTCCCTAGTTTTAGGTTGCCACCAAAAGTTTTCATAATGGGGTTCTAGGTCTCCGGAGCTGTTACGCACCATTGTTTCGTCCTCTTCCCAGAGGTCTGCTTTAAGTAAGAGCAGGCCTGAATAGCGTTTCTATTCCTTTAGTTCTTGAAAAACACTGTGCTTATTAAAGTTAATATTATTGTTAAAACAGTTCTGCTGTGTGGGATGTTTTATGTTTTTGTACGCAAAAGACTTCTGCTTCTGACTGTTACTATATTTCTAAAAGGAGAGTAATGCATTTGCTGATCATTGTGTACTGCTGCTTGGAAGGTGGAACTTGTGTCAGAAGTGATGGTAGTGATGATTTTCGTATCAGGATTGAAAATGATCTGGTGATGTAAATAATGATAATGATAATAATAGCAATAATAATACATCACACACCAACTCCCCTGACCAACAGAAAGTACTGGAACGGTTTGGTGGCTATTCACCTTGAGTTTGAGAGTTGTAGTTCACTTACATCCAGAGAGCCGTGACGCAACAAGAAGGATCGGAACCAACCTGGCAGGGAGACTCAAGCCCGACAGAACCTGGGGATTTGGGGAAATAGACCGTGCATTGGATGAGTTGAGGATGGAGAGTTGCACACTACAATCGGCCTGTCTGAAAAACCCAACCTCGACGGGCAAACTTTCTACACAGAATCCCATGACCAACAGAAAATACTGTTTTCTGATGGTCTTCAGTGACCCCTCTGACACCCCAGCTGGGCCACAGTCCCGGTATTAAATAATAATAATAATAATAATAATTATTATTATTATTATTATTTCAATAAATATGCAGATACATGTCTAATACAGTAAGTATAGGCAGACACACAGAGGCTATTTAACATTCCAGCTTTTTTATTGGGTATTCTGGCCACCAGGGGAGCTGTCGCTTCACCGTCCATTTATGACATTGATGAAGTACTTCCTCATTCAGTTCTTGTGGGTTTTTTCGGGCTATATGGCCATGTTCTAGAGGCATTATAGCCTGAATTATGGCCATATAACCCGAAAAAACCCACAAGAACTGAGTGATTCCAGCCATGAAAGCCTTCGACAGTACTTCCTCATTCTTTGCATGCTTGCTGGAGATTTTTATGACGTCATAAATTAGCCTCCCCGCATAAGCGGTACCTACATTTCCTACTTGACAGAGGCAACTGTTTTTCGGGCTGCAAAGGTCGACAGCAAGCTACACATATTGTTTGGAAGCTCACTCCGACATTTTATATTTATATAGATATTATATTATATTACCAGCTGTCCCCTGCCACGCAGTGCTGTGGCCCAGTCTGTGTATATGTGTTTTGTGTATATAAGTGGTTTTGCGCACACGTTATAATGTATTTTTTGGGATGGTTTGGCTTTTGAAGTCTCTTCTGCTATGTTTTTCAGTGTTATGAGTGATGGTCACTCGTTGGCTGGGAAGTGTGCTGCTTGTCAAATTTGTCCTCAGTTCATCCGATGGTTGTTGGAGTATGAATCCCACAAACTAACATTACATTTTTATTTATATAGATATTAATTATAAGCACAGTGCAGGATACAATATGCGTTGAGTCCAGGAGGACCCCCAAGCTACGGACCTGCGCCTTCAGGGGGAGTGTAACCCCATCCAGCGCAGGTTGCCACCCAATATCCCGGTCGGTCCTGCGACTGACCAGGAGGACCTCTGTCTTGTCTGGTTTAAGCGTCAACAAACCCCTGAAGATAGTTGCCACAGATGCAGGCAAAACATCCGAGAGAATGCTACTGGAACATCGCCATACAGGCCACAATTCAAGAGAGATATTGACAAGCGACTAAAATGATCAAGGATCTGGAGAACAAGCCCTATGAGGAGCAGCTTAAGGAGCTGGGCATGTTTAGCCTGAAGAAGAGAAGGCTGAGAGGAGACATGATAGCCATGTATAAATATGTGAGAGGAAGCCACAGGGAGGAGGGAGCAAGCTTGTTTTCTGCTGCCTTGGAGACTAGGACACGGAACAATGGCTTCAAACTACAAGAGAGGAGATTCCATCTGAACATTAGGAAGAACTTCCTGACTGTGAGAGCCGTTCAGCAGTGGAACTCTCTGCCCCGGAGTGTGGTGGAGGCTCCTTCTTTGGAAGCTTTTAAGCAGAGGCTGGATGGCCATCTGTCAAGGGTGATTTGAATGCAAAATTCCTGCTTCTTGGCAGAATGGGGTTGGACTGGATGGCCCATGAGGTCTCTTCCAACTCTTTGATTCTATGATTTACAGTATCAAAATGTATTGGAGTGGACTGCCATCTGCCAGGAGGGCTTTGATTGTGTTCTTTCTGCCTGGCAGAAGGGTTCAGGACCGGATAGCCCTGTGGTCTCCCAATTCGGGGATTCTAAAATTCCTTTTTGCAAGATTAATAAGTAGTTTATTGCTCTCTTCTTTACACATATATCAGAACTGGCCTTTCCGATGGAGTGACGTACTTACTCCGGGTTTGTCAAACGGATTGTAGACGTCCAGAGTGGCATATTCCGAAGTGGGCCTGTGCTGGATGACAGCAGGGTCCTAATGGAAAGAGGAATCGAAACTTTAGACTCATTGCTAGTTGCCGTTTACAGGAAGCTAGGCTGAGCGAAGTCATCGTTCTTCAAAAAAATATATGTGTGCCATAGGAAAGAAATGAAAGTGGCCATTACTAAGCCAATGATGGATTTCTAATATTTATTTATTTACCATATTTATCTACCTCCTCTCTCAGCCTGGAACCTGACTCAGCACATAGAACAGCCATGGGCAAACTTGGGCCCTCCAGGTGTTTTGGACTCCAACTCCCACAATTCCTAACAGCCGTTTTAAGTAAGGAGTCCAAAACACCTGGAGGGCCCAAGTTTGCCCAGGATGACATAGAAGATGGCTTTGTAAGGCAGCAGATCACAGGAGCTGTCTTCATAGACCTGTCAGCGGCTTATGATACCGTAAACCACTGCTTCCTCCTGAGAAAAATGTATAGTATCACAAAGGACGACCACCTCAACCGCCTCATAGGAAACCTGCTACAAAACAGGAGCTTTTTTGTTGAGTTCCAGGGCCAGAGAAGCAGATGACGGAAACAGAAGAACGGCCTGCCTCAGGGGAGCATGCTTGCTCCACCCATGTCCAACATTTACACAAATGACCAGCCACTGCCAGAAGAGACAGAGAGTTTCATTTATGCTGATGATCGCGCCATCACCGCTCAAGCAGGGAGCTTTGAAACAGTTGAACTGAAGCTCTCTGAAGCTTTAGGTGCTCTTACTACCTATTACAAGGAAAACCAGCTGATTTCTAATCCATCTAAAACACAGGTGTTCCATCTCAAGAACAGAGAAGCATCCCGAGCTCTGAGGATCACCTGGGAAGGAATCCCACTGGAGCATTGCAGCGCACCCAAATACCTGGGAGTCACTCTGGACCGTGCTCTGACCTACAAGAAGCACTGCCTGAATATCAAGCAAAAAGTGGGCGCTAGAAACAATATCATACGAAAGCTGACTGGCACAACCTGGGGATCACAACCAGACACAGTGAAGACATCTGCCATTGTACTATGCTATTCTGCTGCTGAGTATGCATGCCCAGTGTGGAAGACATCTCACCACACTAAAACAGTGGATGTGGCTCATTATTACGGGGTGTCTGCGCCCTACACCACTGGAGAAATTACACTGTTTAGCTGGTATTGCACCACCTGGCATCCGCCGGAAAGTAGCAGCCAATAGTGAAAGGACCAAGGCAGAGACATCTCCAGCTCATCCCTTGTTTGGGTATCAACCAGCACGTCAACGACTTAAATCAAGAAATAGTTTTCTAAGATCTACAGAGACACTCGCTGGAACACCTCAGCAAGCGAGAGTCCAAAAGTGGCAGGCTCAAACCCAGAACCTGGCTGATACCAAATGAGAGACTCCCCCCTGGGCACACAGAAGACTGGGCAACTTGGAAGGCGCTGAACAGACTGCGCTCTGGCACCACGAGATGCAGAGCCAACCGTAAGAAATGGGGCTACAAAGTGGAATCCACGACATGCGAGTGTGGAGAAGAGCAAACCACAGACCACCTACTGCAATGCAACCTGAGCCCTGCCACATGCACAATGGATGACCTCCTTATAGTTAACACCAGAGGCACTCCAAGTGGCCAGATACTGGTCAAAGGGCATCTAATCAACTACCAAGCTTGCAAACTTGTGATTTTTTTCATTTGGGAGTTGTAGTTGCTGGGATTGATAGTTCACCTACAATCAAAGAGCATTCTTCTCTAGATCAGCCTTCTGGGCGCATTAGCTGCTCTCCTTCCACCTTTGGAGCCAAGCCCAGTGTTTGGAGAACTGGCTGTTCATTGTAACGTTGACTCCTCTCTCTCCTTGCTCTCAATCAGCTTTTGCGTAATATTTGCCCTCCGTGACTACGGTATCTTTCAAGGAGATAAAAGGCAACCTCTCTGTTGCGTTCTGCTATTGTCTGCCCCACACATATCATACAACTCGAGTTGCGTCTCCCCAAGACAAGGCACAATCGGAATACAGCAAAGCAGATCCCATGATGTGTCCTATGGGATACTCTGCCCACATATCTGTGTCTTGGATTCATCGCTGAGCCTGGAAGCCCGGGTCTCGGCGGTGACCAGGGGAGCATTTGCAAGGTTAAAACTTGTGCGCCAGCTGCGCCCGTACCTTGGGAAGTCTGACTTGGCCACGGTAGTCCACGCTCTGGTTACATCCCGTCTAGACTACTGCAACGCTCTCTACATGGGGCTGCCATTGAAGACTACTCTGAAGCTTCAAATGGTCCAACGCTCGGCAGCCAGGATGCTAACATGAGCGGCACTCAGGGAGCATACAATTCCTCTGTTGCGCCAGCTCCACTGGCTGCCAATTTGCTACCGGGCACAATTCATCTGTCCGAACGCATCTCCTCCTATGAACCAGTTAGGACGTTAAGATCATCTGGGGAGGCCCTGCTCTCGGTCCCGCCAGCTTCACAAGCACACCTGGCGGGGACAAGAGACAGGGCTTTCTCAGTAGTGGCCTCTCGGCTGTGGAACACCCTTCCTACAGATATCAGATCGGCTCTCTCCTCCAGAGAGCACTGTGGATTCAAACAATGATGGATCTGGATCAAACTTGGCATGAATATTCAATATGCCCAAATATG